GCGGACAATTCTAACTCAAGAAAACAAGAAAAGAAGACACGACAAGAACAACCTCAACTTCCATCTTGATTTCACTCATACTCTGATTTCACATATTTCCCTCTTAGGGCGAGCGCCCAAAAATGACAAGGCAACCTCCCCACACTGAATTTTGCCGAACCCTTACCCCCTCAAACAGATTGTCTAAATCAAAGCCCCCATATATATGATAGCGACTTCTGAGTCATCGCGGCTGGGGGGGTTTGTGTACATGTTAACGATAAAATAAGTTAGTTTTTGGTGATGAAAAACTCATGCAGTTTGGCTAATGATAAAACGACAACCAGAAAAGACGCAACAATCTTCCATGTTACAGAATGGCCCGAATTAATTAAAGGTACCGGCGTGGGCTAATTTGAAATTGATCAAAAACAACATTAATCCGGTCAGAGGTTCCATGTAAGGGATCTCATTGAGGTTTAATTTCTTGACATATGATATCGATACATACTAAACGTTTAGGTCAAGTGAGCCCAGCTTGCTCGCACACAGACTGAAGATCTGAAACAAGCGGACACGAAAAAGTGCCATTTATTATTCAAGCTGATTGATCTGTGAATCAACCCAGCACAAATACCATATCTAATAAAGGCGTTTATAAATTGATCTGGTAAATGCCTTCAAGTCCGCAGCGAACAGCTCTAAGCGCAGACGGTGTTTCAAGATTTCACCAAAAAAAAAACCCTGCGGTTAGCTAGGGTTTAAACATTTACTGAGAATACATACATTATTTTATTCATTATTATTATTTTATTTTTTTTATTTTTTGTTTTTTCTGTACGAATTTACCGGCTCTCGTTGCCCTGGTTACAAGGTGTTTTGAAAATAACGAGAAATTTATTATGACTTTTCGCCTTAATGTATAAAATTCTGGGCAAACGGTGTGGTTTCCAAGTTTACCTTTGTTACTCGGGAAAACCGCCAGCTTCCTAAAAATACCTTTGAAAATATAAAAGGACTTAATGGTTTCTTTAGAAGCTTTTCATCGATTATGAAGTCTCGCTGAACTCGAATTCCACGGAGCTATAGTACTAGCAAAAAGATCTAATGTATTTTTATGTGGTTGTCAAAGTTAGTCGTTAAATTATTTATTATACGCAGTGCAATATTTTGTTGGGTAGCCAGCCGATAATTTGAATAATTTATAGGGAAAGCCTCATTCGATTTAACTGTGCGGTGTGTTTTTTGCCGTGTTTTTTAAATGACAAAAAGCAGACGAAGAATGGCATGTTTTAAAGTAGAGCTTTTTTATTCTTTAAATTTTAGAATTGAATATAAATATTCTGACAGCAAAAACAAAGTACTCGTGCGGCTTCTTTAATATTACATTTTTACCAAATGAAAGGCATTCTACTTCTAAAAGTACGTGCTGCTTTCGTGTAAGTGAGATGACTACGTGAATTGTTGGCGGTTATTTCCTGCATAATGAACAGACATTCTCGTAGAAACGTAACAATCTAATCCATTTTTTGTCGCACTATTTTGTTTTGATTGCCGATAAAGAACTTTCCGGTCATTTCCAAACGATTTGACGTCATCACCAAATTACCCGCCAAAAGCGCGGTATTTTGAATAAGGAAATCTTATTGGTCGAGGAATCCCTTTGCAATCCCACAGTTCTTCAGTGTCAATGTTAAAGCGCTTGGCGGCCATTTTGTATTGGAAAGGCGAATGAAAATCTAATGAGATTCATATTCGTGAGAAATCGCTCAAGCAGCGAAGCGCATTTACCTGTCCTGTCCATTTCGCTGGTATTGAAAGCCTTTGACAATGGCCCCTACGTATTGAACCTTTATATCTAACAGCAGCAATATTTAACGGTTTATGGCGTGAGCCAACAACAACGTTTGCAACTGACTCCTCCGTGTGAGATTTTCTTCGAACGCAATTTTTTTGTGTAGCCGTGCCGGTGAGAAATAGAATATGAATGGAGTAGTCTATCGCTGCGGTGCTGGCGATAGAGATAAACATACGCCGATCGTTGCCGATTTGTGCTGTTTGACCAGTCAAAGAGAATTTTAAATCATGGAAGACGAAACATCCGTTCGAGTGGCTATGAGGTGAGTGTCTTCGAGGCCGTCAAGCTATGACAGAAAGGATAATTTCTCGCAATCCACAGCTAGAATATTACTCGATCAAACGATATAGACACCCTGCCAAGCACTCTGTAACGCGTTTTTTATTTATTTCGGGCTTTTGTTTCTCTCCTCTTGTAGGATTCGTCCTCAAAGCGCTGCGGAGAGAATCGACATGTGCAGAGTTTGTACTTGCGTTACCCCTGGTCATCCACAAGTCGTTCTTGGCAAAGACAAGGCCTTTACATTCGATCATGTGTTCGATATTGAGACTAAACAATTTATGATCTATGAGCAGTGCCTCCGAGGACTGGTTGAGGGGTAAGTTAACTGTTTTCTGTCGGAACGTTTTAATTGTTAAAGTCTATGTTACGCTCCAACTGCGATTTTTTTTTGCATTTTAAACCTCTACACGGCAATTCAGCGATGAGCGCCAAATTACCTTGTCAGCTGTACATGTTCAAAAGTGTACTCTTCAAGATTATTGAAAAGAGTATTCTTTTTTTACTGCAGATGCCTTGATGGTTACAATGCCACAGTCCTAGCTTATGGGCAGGTAAATATCACACTTTGGCGAGCAGGGTTTGTAAGTGACCTACCAAGCCTATCGGGGTTGTAACTTTTGAGGTTCTTCACTATGTACAACTTGCCATGGTTCACCAAATCTATTTTCTTTTAATTTTAAATTAACGACATCTCTTAAGTGTCCCGACTGTCAAGTTAGCAGATCTCAAGCACTGTATTGCTTCGGAGATTTCTCTTGCTACACAATACATTGACCATTCTCTGTTCGAGGACTTATGTAAATCTGCTTGCTATTTATTTTAAAATTTGCGAGATGATCGTTGAAGATTTACAACATCTGATTCCTTAATCTACTGCTTATCTAAAAGGGATGTCGTGTGTTGTGTAATGCAGTAATCGAAATGTAATGTACAGTCTTCATGCTAGTCAACATGAACATCCTCTCTCAGAGTTTGAAAAATATTCCCCTCCCATTGATAAAAGTAACGATAATTCATTTGGTTCAAGTCATAATAATTCACCCTAGAAATAGAGATTAAATTATAAAAGCGAGTATCTTGTGAACCACAAAAATTTAACCGAAAGATAAATTGATCTCTGTAAACACATATATATATCTATGCCAACATCTAGGATATTGTATTGGCTTATTTTTTGCTTATACAAAATGCAAATTTTACTGATAGCTGATTCAATGATTATTCTCTCCTTGAGATAGTGCTCTTCAGTTCCTCTAGATAAAGGATGGTCCTCAGTTTTTTTGTTTATGGTGATGGAAAATTTTGTTCATTATTCATGCATTGATAATTTAGAATATAATATGGTTTACATTCTTTGAGCTGTTTTTGTAGAATACTAGAGGTTTTTATTCTGCAACAATTGAGTTGGCTTCAATAAGTGAGGCAAAATGTTGTTTCAGAGCAATGTAAACTGAAAACTACTCTGTTGGAGAAGTCTTTGAATGATAAGGTGCTTAATTAAGCCAGTTCTTAGAAATATATAGTCATAATTCACCTATGTGGAAAGGATCGTGAAGTTTAAAACTGTTTTCCAAGCACTTTGTGTCACTAAAAAATTTACTGCTTTGATGCTGTCGATTCTTGTATTCTCTTCAATGTCTAAACTTCCTTTTCAGCTGTACTTTAGTGTGTGTATACATTTTTTAAGATGATTGTTTATGATGCTATTTTTAGGCGGAAACAGGCATAAATTAGCATATACCATTCTTACAAGATTTGAATTTTTTCTCTAAAACAATTGGCATTTACTGTTTACCAGTAACCTTTTTACACTCAGAGAACTAGGTAAAAATTATGCAAGCATATTATTTTACTCTGTTGTATAATTGAGGTTTGTTCTATATCATTATTGCTTTTCCAAAGTTCAGTTGTCTATAAGATTCTATACAGTAGTTTCAGTAATAAATTATGTACTATGCTCAATAAATACAGTATAGAAAAATGAAAATCTGGTTTATTAGCTGCTAAATTAGATAGTTGTCTTTAACCAAATGAATTATTATTTTTCCAATTTTAAAGATTCAGTATGAACATCTGTCAATTTGTAAGGTCTTGAATGTTGCTATTGGTATTATTTATAATGTCGTCTTGAATTTTGATATAATTCATGAATATTGCTTTGGGTTGTGGTGACAGAAAATTGACTCCAGCAAACAAATTAATATCAACAAAATTATTGGATAACTTTTTATTGATATTAATATTCTTAATGTCTTGAATTGCATTGTTGTGTTTTCTTTTTTTCTAACCTAATTTAAGGAAAATATCAGTGAACATAATTAAGTTCAATTCCTGATTAAGTTCAATTCCTGATTATTTATATCAGACTCTTTTTAGAACCAAGAGCCAAGCTTTGATGACTCAAATCATCTAGCCATCTTTCTGTAATTACATATATTCTTCAAGTTTCATTTCATTTGTTGTTGCTCGCCTCTACAAGTAATACAATTTTTACATTGTATGTGATAAATAACACACATATAAGCTGAAAGAGGTAGCCAGAGCTTGTGGGCTTTTTGCAGAACAAAAGAGGATTAAAATGAGAAGAAATTATAGACTGGAACATGTAAAATATTTGCTGCAACATATTTCAGCTAAATCGCTTAGCTTTCATCTGCTAGGTGAAATATCTTGTAGCAAATATTTGACACCTTCTCGTCTTCTATCATCTGCAGATAAAAGCTAAGCGATTTAGCTGAAATTTCTCATAATAAATATTTTATACGTTCCAGTCGATGATTTCTTCCCATTAATGCCAACAAAATGTGAAATGAATATGCTCTTTTTGTGCATTTCCAAATTACAATACCATTCTTAATTTTCACTCTGTAATAGTGCTGATATATTATTCACACGTAGATATTAACATCCTTTTCTTGCAATGAACCAAAACTTGATTTTTATTCGATTATGGAAAATCATGTAAAGAGTAATAGGGCTCAAGGATTGCCATGTGCAGGCAAAATGACTGACATACTGCGAACAAAAATTTTTATAACTTGTATGGGAAACAGCTCTAGTCAAACTGCAAACTAGGTGAAAGTCTTTATATGTGACCAGGAACCTCACTGTCACAGCCATCCCAAATTTTGGCAAGCCATGAAGATTGTACATGGAGCCATTTATTAGTGTCTGATATTAATATTGTTGAGGACAAATTTCTAGTGAACTTGTATCTATTTTCTGACATCTTCAGATCTTGTTGCTATTAGGAGATCATTAATGACAATTGACAACTCAATTTTTTACCGTCCCCGATTTTGGCAGTAATTGGTGGGTGATTGAAACAGTACCAGTCCTCTAATTGCTTGGATCCAATTTTCCCCATCACAAATCAAATTGGCACCTTGGAAAGATTAGCGCAAGAAAGAGATTATCTGGACATAATCATCTGTTAAATCTGGGATGGTCAGAAAATAAAGAAATCCCTGACCATCCTGGGCATTTTTATCGCTAAAAAACCAGGCATTAGAAATTCAATTAAGAATCAATGATTTTATATGTTTTATAATTTATGTATATGTATGTTCATTTCAATCTAACACAGACAGGATCTGGAAAGACATACACCATGGGAACTGGTTTTGACATTGCCATCTCTCAAGAAGAGGAAGGAATCATTCCGCGTGCAGTGGCCCATTTATTTGATGGAATTACCAAAAGAAAACAGGATGCCAAACAAAGAAATGAGCCTTTACCGGATTTTAAAGTGACTGTTCAGTTTATGGAGGTAATAATCCTGCACGTTTTTGGACTTTGTTACTTTTTACCATACATTTTCTTAAAAGGGCAAAAAATAAAAATATTATTGTTTCATTAGAAAAACAATTTGACAAAATCCAATTTAACATGCACAAAAATAAATGCTTAAATAATTGTGCAGTTTTGCAAAATGTTTGGCAGCCCAGCATGGAGTACATGTAGCTACAGTATTAGCCTAGAGACAGAATTAACAATTTTTAATTTTGTTAACTCTGATCCAATAAGGATTACAGAGAACCTTAAAGCATGCATTGCGCTGTGTTAAGTGAGTGCAAAGAGGACTCTTTGTCTTGCAGATACACTGTAGTTGCTAGTGCAGGGCATTCTTTTCTTTTGGTGACAAAATTAAGATACTGTCAACAGGAGTCCTGAAAAATATCGATAAATACAAAAAAGCTAATCAAAAACTACAGTTAGGGGTTCACAAAACAACAAAATAGTATGGCTAATTAAGAAAACTAGTGTTACTAAAATTACCGGCTAATAATAAATTATTCTGTTGCAAAGAAACCCCAATATCTAATTAGAGACTTTGTGATTGGGAAGTACTCAAGCTTGTCTTACTCTGCATTGTGTATCATATTTTTGGCAACCTTTTTTGTCAGCACCCCTGGCCCCTGTGCTCTATAAAGTATTAGACCAATACCCAGTTCTCTTGTAAAATGGACCTGACCTACTCTCTACTAAGGATGGCGGAAAAAAAAAACCACTGATATGATATAAAATTGTTAAAAAATAAGATGGTGTTGTGTGAAAGAAGTGCAAAAGATTTTTCTTTTAAAAATTTTAAGTACAGTGCATTTCATCATTTTTTTACTCTGTCAGAGGAGTATAGGAACAGTATAACAGGTTGAAGTGCTTAATGTTCCTTTGAGTGCTTTGACTTATCACTTTTTTTTCAAGAGCCCTTTTTGAAGTTAAGCCATGTTTGTTTACTTTAAACATAAGGAAACAATTTAAAGTATGTGAGATGTTTTTGTGAGGTTGTGACCCCAACAAACCATGTCTAATTGCCCTTGAAACACTACTCATCACAATACTATAAACATGTACTAGCTAAGTGTCCCCCGCTGGTGGGACTAAAGTTTTTGTTGAGTTCATCACATTTAAAGCTTGAATGGTATGATAATGTTTGAATCCAGAGTTTCTTAAACAACCAAAACATTTTCTAGGCCATTATTGTAGTCAACATTTCTATTTATAATTTATTTGGGTAGTCTGGAGTGCGAAAGTTAAGCTGGAATGATTAAAGTGAATGAATGTATATTGAGCTAATTAGAAAAATCACAAAGCCCAACGTTTTTAAATTTGATTGAAGTGGTTTTCTTTGTTCAATAAAAGCCATCATAACATCTTTTGTTGAGGGGCTAACAAAAACTTGAGCAAGCTTGCTGGGTCAGGGATGACTTCTTTTAAATTAAATCATTACAAAATAACCTATAACAATTATTAATCTCCTCTGTGCAGAAATGACTCGTATTGATGGATACAATAATAGTTTTTCTATCATATCATGCTTTTTTATCATTCATTGTCTTGTTTTGTGGTGCATTTTTAATACTTGCACATTGTGTTCAGAAGATGAATAAAATTTATGCATAATATTGCTTTGTTTTTGCTCATAACACATATTTTCTTATCTGCCCAATTTAGCTTTACAATGAAGAACTTATGGATTTGTTTGATTTTGACAATAACAAGGTAGGTCTTCCATATAATTATCTAGTGGTGAAACATGATGGATAATTAGTTCAACATTTTAGTGTTATTTTTGTTTGTCTCATGATCAATTATGATTAAAATCCTAAAACAAAAGAAATAAAAGCTACATTGATTACTTAAAAATTATTATTTTGATATTCATAGGATATCATTTTTTAAATTATCCACATCAACCTGACATGCATTAACATTGTTATACTTTCATATTGTCATCAGAGCTTTCTATTACACTCTATTGTATTTGAGACTTTTGTCGAGTTAATAAATCTTTTAAAAAACTTGCCATCAGCTTTACAGAGGTGTCTATAGAATTGATAAAGACATTAGTTTTCAGTTCTGTCCTGGAATTATTTTTAGTCAACGGTAATTTTGGTGTTGTGAGAAAGAGTTTGAGGAAACTTGTGTTGGAGAAAGTGCAGATCACATGATGTGACATTTTGACTGCAGGAAGACTGACCAGTTTATCAACTGAATTTCTCTCTCTAAATCCTTCTTTTTGTTTGTCAGTAAAATGTTGATCTATAAAGCTCTTGAATTCTGTTTTTTAACATGAAAGTGTTACTTGTTTGTGAATGATTTTCTTGCACAGTGAAATCTTTTATTTATGTAGACACTCATGATACCCAATGCTAAGTGTCCATTTAAAGGCCAAGGAAAAATATCTCATAGAAATAAAATTTCTAGCTAGTGTGCATGTGTAGTGCATGAGAATGTCTGCTTAATCTTACTTTTGGTTTTGTAGGGCCGTAAAAGCAATGTTAAAATTCATGAGGATGCCAATGGAAATATTTATACCATGGGTGTAACAATGAAGCCAGTAAACTCAGCTCAAGATGTAAGTATTATTGTGTTGGGTTTTAAATCAAAAGGTTTGTGAAATAATATGAATCACTAATACATGTAGGCATTCTCACTGCAGAGTATTTTGTGGTTAACATGGCTGGTTATTTGTTTTATTGTTATATTTGCATTTCATCACTGTCCGTAAGAGCACGGGTGTGGTGCTCAGAGTACATTCATTGGTGCCCCAGCCCACATCCTTGCTTATAATAAAATCCCTGAATTTTGCATTGAAACAAAGCAGGGAATCAGGAGTTGGCAAGAAAGGCTCGCCGCTATTGCCTACAATGTGCTGTCATTGCTATCAGAACACCTAAACACTTGTTTAGCTGTAGGTGCATAATAAAGCAGCTTTCTTGGGAATGAGTTCCCTATTTTTAAACATAGATTGTAGACACTGAGCATACATTTGCAGCAGAAATGTTTGATGCATTTTGTTCTTTAGTAAATAAATATTTAGTTAAGAGTATAAATTGTCTAAAAATTACCAGTTTCAAATTTCTAACAGTAGATTTCGCTCTTCCTGTTGTTGGAAGATCAGATTGGTGCAATAAGTAATATTTTTCATTTATTTTTTTAAGACAATTTTTACAGGTACATGTATGCAACTTAATCTTGTACTTGTTACAGGTTAAATCTGATTTTAGAGGTTAAAATGTTTCATCCCAGGTTGATTTTCATTTCCTTTGTCTCTTAGGGCTACACACAAATGTAGGACACAAAACTGAATTGAGAATTAACCCAGGTTAAATCAAAATTAACCTGAAATCAAGTTTAACCTGTAACATATACTCATAGCCCTATCAGAAGTTGGTATATGTTTGTTTTGTTTTGTTTTGTTTTTTCTCTTTGCAGACTTTAAATTGCCTACAACAAGGAGCTCTTTCTCGAACTACTGCCAGTACTAACATGAATGCACAGTCTTCAAGATCCCATGCTATATTTACCATTCATGTCAAGCAGCAGCGTGTTGTTAAGGTATAATGTAACAAGCTCTTTAATATGTATAAAATTTTTTTTACAATCTGATGCAAAAAATAATAACAAAATTGATGTACTGGATAATGTTAATTCCTTGCTCTGGCTGCTAAAGTTTAAGGGCTGGTTATTTAAAGGAAGTTTAACTTAGACCGCCATTTAAGAAGTCTTTGGACCTCCGGATCTCTTCCATACTGGGTTAATTTAAGAAGGTAAATCCTTTTTTAGTCTATGCTATATGCTCTAATGAATTTGTTCACGGCAAATGCTGTTTGGATTAAAGTGTTAGACAAACTGAAAATGACTTAAAACGAGGTTTTGCTAAACCCTGGTCAAACTCCGTTTAAATAACTGGCCCTAAGTAGTTTGAACAAAATAATTATGTTAATTTATCTTGAACTTAATTGCCCTCGCGGAAAATGTAACAATTTACGTATTGGTATTCTACAGTTGTACATTGTACATAATAATGTGGTAAGGTTGTTTTGCAACATATAATGTGGGATGTTTTAAAATGAATTGTATGATATTAAGAAATAATTATTGTGCTTGGATACTGCTCTTAAAAGACAAGTGGTAACACTTACATGTAACACTTAAGGACTGACAAATCTCTACTCCTGAGTGGGTTTAAAGTCAAAATTAATAAGACAATTCTAAGTGCACACAAGAAATGTTTTTTTGACTTTTCATAACATGAGGTGTTTATTATACAACTGCATAAGGTCACTAATTATGCTCTTTTTAGAGGGAGATTTTGCTTGTTATATTGATGTCTGTAACATAACACTGCACCTTACGCAAGAGTACTTTTTTCCCTGGTGCTGACCCCTCTGATTGTAAAATGTAAGGAAAGTTGTTTCTCTGTATAGATTTGTGATGATAATGATGAAAAGCCTTCATCAGACAACATTAATAACTATGAGTATGAGATGCTTACAGCCAAGTTCAACTTTGTGGATCTGGCTGGTTCAGAGAGACTTAAACGAACTGGTGCAACTGGGGACCGTGCCAAAGAAGGAATTTCAATTAATTGTGGTTTGGTGAGATATTTTCAGTTTTGATGTTTAATCTAAAACTTATAGGTAATAATTATATTTTCTAGAATAACTCCATGATTTCAGTAAACTATCAGTATTAATCAGTGTAATTAGTTTATAAAAGAAACTATAGGGATAATGTTTTCTGCAGGACTCAGGGTTAAATCATGTGTAAAAATCTATTATTGGTTTTACACTTGATAGATAGTGTGTTATTGAATTTTATCCCAAGAATTGCCACTTTGTTTATGTGCTACTGCACAATGTGAATCCTATGGCATGCTACAGGATTCTTGTAGTGCCAGAAACTGAGATGACAGGTAACGTGATGTGACTAGTAACCCACATTTTAATGGCACTGTCATGGATCTAGCTAAGGAAAACTTCAGCAGGCTTTGTTTTAGTCAAGGCAGCTTTTTGACTTGATTGTACTGACAAAATTCCTCCATGTCTCTCTTATAATTCCAGAGCTGGTTGTAAGGTCTTTTTCAACCACTGAAATTAACTGGCAGCTTGCTCTTAGCGACATCCCTGCACTGTCTCTTTCCTAAACATTTTTAGCAATAACTTGGCATACATTTTAAGATCCTTCAACTTTCACTCAAATGAACCCTTTCTTGCTTTCTCAAAATAGCCGTAAATGACACAGACATTGAGAAACAACAAATTGTTATGAAAATTTGTAGAGAAATTTTTATCAAATATACAAATGTATAAACAAACTTATTATGAATTATGTTGAGAAGATGAAGTCAGTGTCCTAATTTCCATCATTTTTCCTCCACCTTCAATTATTTTTAGCTGGCTCTTGGTAACGTAATCAGTGCTTTAGGAGATGCAACAAAGAGGGGAAGCCATGTACCATACAGGGATTCCAAACTCACAAGATTACTGCAAGACTCTCTTGGAGGCAATAGGTGGGAAAAACGTTAATACTTCTATAACCACAGAGAGCTGGAAACTTTGACTTAGTTTATATCCCTTTCACTTTTTATGTTGTAAGTTAGCTGCCAGAAGAATATTATTTTGATTTTACCTTCCTACTCATTGTTCACCTTTCTCTACATGATTCTGGTGCTGCCCTACCTTCCAAAACACACTTTTAGAAAAAAAAGGTACAATGTATTATTTTGCAATCTTCAAAGCCAGGATACTTAAGCTGACATAGACAGCGCTATTAATGAGTAAGGGTCACATTGATTTGTTTGACTTTAATTCTTATAATTTTCATTTTTTTTATTTATTCAGTTATATATTTTTTCTTATTATTATTCTAGCTATTTTATTTCTATATTCCTTACACGTTTGTAAAATATCTTATGTAAGTGCATGAGTCTCAGGGGAAAAAAAAAATTTTGAAAGTTATCATCAGTATGTGCATGTAACATCCTCTCACAGCCTGCCTCAAATAGTATTATGTATCCAGTGTGAATGTGCAGAGTGATTTTACTTAACCCAGGAGATAGCTAGTAGAATAACTATGCACTATTAGGCACTAATTCTGTTGTCTTCTTTTGTTTATTTGTAGCTATTTTGCACTAGTAATTATTAACTGTTTCATGGGTCAAGTAAAATCGCTCTAATGTATTTCCTTGGCAATCAATAAATATAAAATTATTGTTGTTTGCCTATTTGGCTATCCTAAGTATTACATGCAGATTTTAGGGTATTTTCCTTTGAATATTAATTTTTAACTACTATTCCAAGTTGAAGTAGGATTGTTATGGGAAGTACGTCAGTAACTGTAGGGTTTGTTATTAATACAATGTATGTTACCTGTAGCCGAACTCTCATGATCGCTTGTGTTTCACCCTCTGATCGAGACTTCATGGAAACTCTGAACACGCTCAAGTATGCCAACCGAGCGAGGAATATCAAAAACAAGGTGAAGTGCTCAAGTAATAGGCTTGTACACTTGTCTTCATGGGTTCTGAGATCCAGTCAGAATTGATGGACTGTTATAGTATAAGACCATTTCCTTCTGAATTATTTCTCATCAACTGAATTTCCTTAAATAACCTTATACTGTATATTTGTATACCTTTGGACTTGCCTCCTTGTTTTGTCCATAATTAAAACCCTTTCTATATTAGTTTTGCTGGGGTAGAGCACTTATTCACTTATTCTTTGCTTCCTTTGTCAAATATTTCTCCCAATTTGGAACTCCATTTTCAGTAAATTGCCAGTTGGTCTTTCATTTGTACATGTATTGTGAATAGAACTATTAGAAAATGAAATTAATGACAGTATTCACATGTGAAATAGAAATTAATGACTGTTTTTATTTCTTCACTTTCAGGTTGTTGTGAATCAAGATAAAACCAGCAAACAGATGGCAGCGCTAAGACTTGAGATTCAAAAGCTTACAATGGAACTGTTGGAATTTAAACAGGTATTACTGTCTAGGTCTTGCCACTCCATTACAAGAGCCAGTGGAACTAGTAATCTGTATGTTCTCCAGTATTATGCCTGTTCTACAGTGAATAAACACAGTGTTTATGACAGGGTTCGCAAATACGCCAAATTTGGCGTATTTTACGCCAAAATTGTTCAGATGACTCCACTGAGGTTACGGAGGGAGTCACTTTGACTCCAAAAATTTTCGGTAACAAACAGGGAGCCACTTCGATTCCAGAAATTTTCGGTAACAAACACAGTTTTATCCTTACCTTTTTCGCAACAAATACAATTTACGTTAATTGTAAACGTTGTAAACCTTAATTAAATCATTGAAATTAAAGAATTATACTCCACGACAAACAGGAAGAGGGTAAATTACGATCAAAGTTTACTCGATGACCGCCATCATGGATTTGAACTTTCCAGGTCAGCGGACCACCAAAGCTACTTCGTGTATCCCTCACGATAGTGTATACATGCCGGGACCACGTGCTGGAAAGTCTGATACTTGACTCCAAATATTCCAAAATGACTCCAAAATTTGTGAAGCAGAAGTCACACTGACTCCACTCATCAATAAAATTTGCTAACCCTGGTTTATGTATAAACTATGAAAGTGGTACAGGTATGATAAATTATTATTCATTCAAAATATGAATTCCGTTTCTGATTGGCAAAAATCCCACACATAATTCATCATAACCAGCTACTGTCGACCTAATTTATTTGGAAGAATTTTGCAATATATGAAGTGATGATGTCAATCGTGCAGCAAAATTGCCAGATTTTTGAAATGTTTACTGAGAAGACCTTGGGACTACGTAGAGTTGTTTTGGTAGTGAATACAAAAATATGATGGAACATTTCACTTGTTTCACGAGGAAGAAGTAGGCGAACTATTAGCTAAAAACATAGCAAGAACAGCAAGAAGACAACCCAATGGACAACATCATGCTATTTGGAGAATATTTGCAGAACTGAACAACAAGTAGGAATTATTTTGAATGAATAATGAAACAATTATTGAATTTGTCTTTCATATCATCTGAAGAATTACATGTAAGGAGATCTCGGATGCCGGGTCTAAAGTACATGTCACATTCCACAGGTCAAAAGTACAGGTCACTGCTCCATCGATGAATTACTAAGCGACACAGATTTCAATCGATCTAATAGAGCATTTTGTTGAGAGATTAGGGTTGGGAGACACTTTAAATGCTGTTCGTTTATCTGTATCATGGTGACCTGTACCCTGACCTGTGGAAAAGTGACCCATATTTTTAGACCTGCCGAGTTTTTTGGTGACGCACGTCAACTGGAAGTGAGCCTTTTTCTCTTTTAATATGCCTTGATTCTACCAAATTTGTATTGTTAAGTTCTTTACTCTTACAGAGACGATTTACCTAATAGTTGTTTTGTTTAAATCATGGCTGAAGAGTTAAAAAAGTCCACTTCTGGTTGACGTGCGTTGCTCAAAAACATTGTTTCTTTAACTTCCTATTGAGGTAGCGTAGTCTATATTGTGGCTAATAAATGACAGGATAGCCTCACAGAAAATAATGTAACCTTATTACATACAATTTCCATTCTGTGTTTGACAGGGTAAAAGGGTATCTGGTGTTGATGGTGATCAAGTCAGTGATGTCTGTCATGAAAATGTTATTCTAAAAACTGAGAATGACAAGTAAGAATTATCTTTTTGTTTTAGAGTAGAAAAGTCTCTTGTAGTGGTAACTTGAGGCTCATAACATTGACATATGGCACATATTTTCTTGTTATAGACTCAGAGTGCGTATCAAAGCTTTGCAGCAAACAATTGACACACAGTCTGTCAGAATAACAGAACTGATCTCTTCGCAGGTTCTTGCACAAGTGAATGGTATGGCAATTATTTTAAAGTGAAATGCTTGCAAGTCTGTCTTGAAATAAGTAAAGGATACAATGTATTATTTTGAGTTTGTGTTCAAAACAGCTTTGTTTTATAAGACATAGCTGAACCTGTTTAATATGAAAGCACCAAAGGGGTGGAGCCAAGGGGTGCTTCCCATTCACCCAAAACGTCCGATTTGAATTCTGGGCAACTGCCAGTAATAAATGTAACAGCATTTTCTAAATTTTTTTAAAAAAGAGGACAACCTAGCCTGTTGACAGACCGTCTATTTTCTCTTCAAAGTCCGTTGAGCATGTGTGATAAAATATAAACCGCGGGGGATTTATTGACTGCCAGCACAAGGGAGAAAAGAAAAGAAAGATGAAACAACGCCTGTGTACAGGCTAAGGACAACCTCACAACTAGGTATACCCAAATTTTGGAAATTTTTTTCCCGGAATTTTTCTTTCCATTCAATTCTGCTCTGGTATTTCTATAATTTTCGGTTGAATGGTTGGTATTTTGGAAATTCAACAATTTCCGGAATTTCTGGAAACTTTTCCGGGAAATTTCTGTACTGTTTGCCACTGTTTCCCATTTTTTTAATGTTTTGGTTGAATGGAAAGCATCCAAGTATTCCCATTACAAAGGTGTCTGTGCTAATAGGGATTGTATGTTAGTTTGCTGTCTTTGGGTGTTGCTAGGTCAGCTGTAGATAGAGGCATTTGTAGATAGAGGTTTGACTCGTCAGTTTTATCACTCATCATACAGAATAATTTATTACAGTCGTGGAAATCTAGTTTGAGACACCAACATGACTACCATTGCATTGTTTTGGGACGTCTATAATGCGAATGTGACATCATGTGAGCAAGGGTGGCGCAGTGGTGAGAGCACTTGCCTCCCACCAATGTAGCCTGGGTTCAAATCCCAGCGTCAATGCCATATGTGGGTTGAGTTTAAATTTGTAGTTGGTTCTCTCCCTTGCTCCGAGAGGTTTTTTCCCTGGTACTAAGGTTTTCCCCTCTCCTCAAAAGACAACATTTCCAAATTCCAATTTGACCAGGAATCAGGTAGACAAAGAACCACTTAGTGGATGTGCTACCTCTAAAACCGTTATTTATGTTATTTATTTATTTATTTATATGAAAACACTATCCAGGTGACTAGGATTGCCTCAGTGGATCAACCTTTATTGCATCAAATGAATATCAATGACCTGAATACATTTTGAGACATCTCCTGTAATGAAGGCTATCCGGAAAATTATGTAGAAACAAGGCTTTATAACAGTGTCATTTTGTGCACTAAAATGTAAATGTAATTAATCATTGGGACACCTTGTATGAGTTGTCTTAGGTATACTTGTTATCTACATGTTCTGCTTTCTCTGATCTCTAGGAGAGGAGGTCGATGATGGAGTTGAGACCCTCATACAAAAATATTTAAAGGAAATTGAGGAACTCAGGTAAGAAATGTTTCCTTTATAAATAGCCATCATTTCAAAGTATTTGAGGAAGTTCCATTTGATTGAGGGCCATTTAGTTATGGACAGAGAAGATACCTTTGCTGTTTTGTATGAATCTGTTTAAGGCTTAGCCTGCGAACAGCAGACGCATTTCCAGTCGTCGACCGGAAATGCGTCTGCTGTTTGCAGGCTATTGAAGGCTACATCAAGATTCGTCATGTATAATCTGTTAAATCTCCTTTACTCTTAACTGTCCTCATTTTTCTGGGAACTGTCCACTATCTGGGCCCCGTTGTTTGAATGCCAATTAGCGCTAACCCAGGGTTAAATTTTAATCCAAATTTCTTTTTCTATTGTTCAAAAGCATTTTCTTGGAATGGATAATCTTCTCTTACAATTCTTTTTAGAGCATCCGATCAATCACTTAAAGAATCAAGTGCAAATAGCTGACATAATCAACTACTGAAATATGACAAACACTTGGTTATTAAGTTCCCAATGCTCTTTCATTACTCTTGTGCAGAAACACATTGAGTCAAAAGTGCACTGCTCTTGTCCATGGTGTGCACGTGTTTTCGTGATTGAAGCTCTCTTTTGTAAGTGTTTTTGCAATAAACTCTCTGGAAAAGTTCTTGAGATTTTCAATACCCGAGAATATCCATTCCTTGAACTTTTGGCCTAAAAAGGTTACGGTCACTGTGCATGGACAACATCATTAAAGATAATTTGTTTTGATTTATGAACATTTTCTTCTCTCTACTTGTATAACAAAGAAAAGAGATCCCGAATTTTGATATCAGGGATTTAAGGCTAAATTCTTGATCTTAGGTCTTGAAAATTCAATAGTACCAATCTGAGGGTCTTGTTCTCTCCTCTAGGAACAAGTTGACAGAAAGTGAAGCAATGGCAATGGCTATCACAAGACATGCAACACTGAAGTCCCGCATGGCCTCTCCTTCTCATCCTGAACCCACAACCAGCATCCTGGAAGTGGCAAAAATGGATGTAGCGAAACAACGGCAGAAAGCACAGGTGGTGTTACGTAATCCTTCTCTGTCCAAAGTCAAATGTGTAAAGCCTGTTAAGCCTCGTGGAGGCAGCCTCCATTCAACTATGAATGGAGTTAAACCTTCTGCTAACTTTACTAACACAGCACGACCTCAGACTAAGTCTTTTCTTCAGTCTAATGGGGGTAAGGTTAAGGTTGTGACACCACGGCTTCCTTGGAATACCGGGAATGTTCAGTCCAAAACTGACTCTGGACTGTACTCTAGAACAGCACAGCGAGGTAGTGTTGCCTTGTCTAAGGAACCATGTCCGAGACCTCGAAGACGTAGCAATTACTTAACTCCGGCCGACCGTGACAACCCTGTCTATGGCTCAGAATCTAACTTCCGCAATGCTGATACTACTAAAGTAGTTCTTCGTAGACCGAAACAGAGAAATGCTCATTCTGAGGTAACTGCAGTAAAGCGAAGATCGCGTAGTCTAGAATCTCTGATGGACGGCACCGATGCCGTGGAAACTTATCTTTCGCCGATGCAGTGCTTTAAATGCAGGAAAGATTTGAGTCGCACTTTGGACTCGAGTACGTCAGATATTTTTTCTGATGCCTATAGCTCTGCCAGTGATCTCAACTGCTCATTACCTGAACTTCATTGCGATGAGAATAATAACGCAGTTTCTCAGGTAGCAAACAGGAACTTTTCGATACCAAGAAAGGAAGTACTCAAAGCTGAGAAGTTAGTTCATCACCCTCCCCCTATTGACATTGTATCAGATACTGAATGCTACCAGTATCACTTTGAAAGTGACAGCCAAGTGGAAAGTGATTACGGTGCGGCAGTTGCCTCTGACAGTGAAGTCTACAGGTACAGATCTATACTAAAAGACAAAAGGAACCTACGCTTAGACTCCCCTGTTCCACATTTACTGCGAGAACACAGAACAGACTCTACTGGCAGTATACAAGAACGTAAGATTCAACTTGAGCAAGATCTAGACTCGCTCTTGGATTCAATGGCTTTTACGTTAGGAAATTATGAGCATAAATGTAACAGTGAACCTGTTTTAAAGAATGGTGGCTCTGATGATTCTTTGTATGCACCACCGGCCTTTTTCAGGCCAGTGTTTGAGGTCAAAATTTGAAAGCCTTTACCCTCTTTAACATCAACCAGTGAAAGGCGCAAAATCTGCCTATGGTAACTGTGGGAGCCACGGAATAGAAAAGGAAGGAATTTCCCTCATGTTCTTTGTCTCAACTTCTTCATCTTTCTTCTCAGCATTGTACAGTTTATAAATTGTTATTTATTGTGGTCCCTCGAAAGAGAACAGCTCCATAGACCTAAATTTGGTGGAGTTCTTTCAGCATGATACTGCTCTTAAGTTCTTTTTGTGAGCTACAGATTGAAGGATACGGGGAATAATAGAACCATCAAAGTTTAGTAAAATTACAAGTCCGCTTACTCCAATGCTGCCTTTCCAAAATAAATTTTACTAAAATTTAAACTTACTATAAACAACACCAGTCTTTTAAATGCTGTTAGAAGTTTGGGAAGTTTTAAATTCTTTTTTGATATTATTTATTTTGCATTCTTTAAGTTGCACAGTATACTACATTTTTATTTGGGAAACATCCATCCATGTACACCGTTGAATGAATGAACAACTTTATTGATGAGTCAATCTTCTAGCTGGCTAGTGCTAGTGGTGTTACCGAACATTGATTAAATTGACAAGCTTCAAATATTTCATCACATAAAAGTAACATCAAAATTGCATATAAAACAAATTGGTGGTTTCTATCATTGGCATTTCTTTTTTTTAATTTTAAAATAGAAAACAACATGAACTAAGAAAAGTCACTGTAGCTAAGCAATATTAATATACCTTAAAAATGAATTGAATAAAATTAATGAACAATTATTTAAATTCTTGGTTGTTGTATCCTGTGATCAGAAGCTTCATTCTCGCGCATGGCAGTTCACACCGCGAAATTGTAACCTCTGCTCACAGGGTATGGTTTTGATAAGTTATTTTGCATTATTTGATTTCTGTCGATAATTTGTAATAGAGTTAGATTTATTTATTTTAAAAATCATCAATGATTATTAACTGTAACCTTTAGAAAAACTAAATTATTGACAATGTATTTAAGTTGTTTAAATTATTTTAAAACAATATTTTAATGTGAAACACAAAGATATAAAAAGGATGATACAACATTTTGTGCTTGCAGTATTGCAATTTCTTTAAATTTCACCTTCATGTGTTGGCAAATTAATAATAATATTTATCCTGGTGGAATTTTAGTTGAACCCTCATAATTTGGATGGTATTTTTTATTTTGTATGTCATGTTCTCTGTTAAGGAAAAAACCTTTCAATGGATGTGGCATATTAATTACGGATATTGTATACAAAGAAATGAACATTGTTGAATTATTTTTGTGCGAACTACAGGTACATGTACATTTACCTGACTAGTGTACAGTATAAATTAAAATTTGCAGGACGGCAAGATAAAAATATTGGATAAATTTTAATGCCTTAAGGAATTTTATTAATTCTAGTAATTAATAGGCAGTAAAGAGTTACGATCATGAAAGTTCTTTTGAAGATGGAAAAACGGAATTTTTTGGCCTGTACAGGAATTGTGAAATAATAGTGTGAACAAAAATGTTTCAATTTAAACTTCTATTACTTAAATAAAATCTTAAAACGTTTCTGTAATAACAACTTATAAAACTGTGTAATTGACTTTGAACTTGTTTCTTGTACACAGATTTGTAGAGGACTGCGTAAATTAATTCCTAAAACTAATAATCATAAGATTCATTCATTCGAAAGTAATTTTTTTGTAATAATAAAGAAGATTAAAACTGATGCTCTTGTGTACCCTTTCTTTATGCTTGAGTGCCTTGGATATTCTTCATTTTGTTGTTATTTTCTTCATTTTTGCACCTGCTTGGTCTTGTTTCTATTCTCTAGTTTTGTTGCACATCTCAGCCTTGTTATTTTGCATTTTGTTTGCTTTACAGTGTAGCTGCATTTTATTTCATCTTTTTCTTGCATTTATTTGCTTCCTTGTTGTTTTGAGTGACTTGTAATTTTTTTGTTGTGTTAATTTAGTATGTGCTCTAGCTATAGTGAAAATCTCTTCAAATATCCATGTTGGCCCGAAGTGATCCAGAGGTCTATTGACATCAATGTCATCTGCGATCATTTCTTTCTCATTCAGCAGCCACCCTACCTCAATCCTATGAATCTCTGATAGTGAAATACAAGTGCCCCGTCTTGTTACTTTTCATAATGCGGCAGCAGGAAGAATTTGTAAGAGTTTAAGATTGAAGGATCATTAATTATTTAAGTGTCGTGACAGTCTGAATGACTCTCTCGATGAATATTTGCATTTACTACTCTTTGTCGGAGTTTTAAGAGCTATTGGCCTATCAAATAGGCTAATTGGTGGTTTTCCATTGGATGTGAGTTATTTGGAACCTTGTCAACACAAAATGGCAAATTCTAAATGGTTCTAACGATCAAAGGAACTTTCCAGGTTCACGTTATGAGCCTGTAAAGTCAAGTAGAAGATTCGAGTTAGCTCCTGCTTGCAAAGAAAAGAGCTTTTAAATGCAGTGACAATGAAAAACTGTTACCTTCAGATTGCATTTCACAAAACCCAGAAAAATTGGCGTTAAGAATTCAATTAGGAATCTAAGAAGATGACTTTCTGGAACCCTGTACTACTGCAAACACAAAGTTTGAAAAATTGTTGTGGAACAATAAGTTAACCACTTTTTTCAAATTCTCAACTCCTTTTATAACTAAAGCTTCATAGTAAAATACCGTAAAAGTAAATTTCAATGTTTGTGTTGTTTGTTTGAATTCTGTTCCAAATGTATGAAAATGAACTCGAATTATTATGACGTTTGAAGCTTAATTAAAAACCAGTAAATGCAAAACGTATTTTGCCATCAGCACTGCTGTGTTGCTTGTTTTGAAACGCATTCTTTAGTCCTTTCATGAGCCCTCCACGCTTATTGCATTTCTCTCCTCTGGGAACTAAACTCTATTTTCATGTTCATTCTTCGAGAAAAAATTAAATTCTCTTGTATTGACCCCCAACATGGCCGCCTTGTCACGTGGTTGCAAACAAAGATATAAGCTCAGGGCTTGTAAGCGGAAATTACGGTATTTGTGTTATTTAACGCCATTGTGTTGTATGCCTACGCTTATTTGCTGATATGCCCACGTTCCTGACATTTTGTTTTTGTGAGTACCTTGTATTGAGAAACCAGTGAATTACTAGGACAGTTTTAAAAATGCTTTGGCAATTCACAGGCTTCTCTGCATTACATCTGAAATTATCTGTACCGATCTGTTCTGTTTCCACGTTTGTAGGTCTTTGTGTCGGTCTGTCTGTCTGTCTTGCGGTGGTTTGTCTGTCTGTCTGTGTGTCAGTCGGTCTGTCTGTCTGTGTGTTAGTCGGTCTGTCTGTCTATCTGCCTGTCTGTCTGCCTGTCTGTCTGTCTGTGGGTCGCTCGATCTGTCTGTATGATATATTCGTGTTGCTCCGTCCGTCTGTCTTTTGCTATTGCACAAAATCATACTTTCTCTACCTTGTGCATCGTAACGCTCCCAACACACATACGTTGCTTTTTGTGTCATCTGAATCATCCATTTGGCTGTGAATCAATTTAAAGCAACTCTGTTCTCTTGACTATGATAAAAATTTGTCTCTCTCTAGTCCATTCAGAATCATTCCTAACATCCAACCAGTCTGTATTAATATGTTATTAATTGTAAATTAACCTTTATGATGCTTCGATTTTATCACTTCACGAGCCTCGGAACTCAAATCACAGGTAGCAAGGCTGAGCTTCTACTCTTTCCCTGTCATATCTTCAGTCCAGTATCTTCTTGGTAAGGTTTCTCTGTGCATGAACTTGTGGGCGTAATTAGTCTATAAACACTATGTAATTTACGTTATATTTTAACGGTTGCATTATGTCTCTGCAACAAATGATTGTTACTATAGTTAATTTAATAATCAAGGTCGATGGACAACGACACATAAGCAGCTCTTTTAAGAAGCTAAATCAAACTTTTCTGAATTATTGTGACTTTTGATTTTAGTAATAAATTTTGTAAACTTTGATTATGTTACACCTTAACTGTATAAAATTCTGTGTTAATTATTTTTTTAAGTTTCGGCATAGTTGCAGGCGGTTAAAAACAGTTTAATGGTACCAGAGTGTTCGCAATCCCCTATTTATCCGTAAGATGGTAGAGAACGAGCGCTACAGGTGGCCATCTCGACCGACTCGAGCTTGAAGAAGACTATTCCATCTACTATAAACCCCGACGCACTCCGTCCGGGGAAATTTGAAACCAATAATTACAAAATGGCTGCCAGTGACGGTGATTGCTCGATCTCGACGATCTTACTGAAAAATAGGACGCTATGAAGAGTCTAAATGGTGCTTACAATGAGTCAGTACATAAATGAAATTGAAGGATAATGTTCCTTGTTGATATAAGTGAGAAAAAAAGATGAAAATCAAACAATTTAAGATTTTGAAGATAAAACTAAAGAATTGTCTCCTGTCTCTTAAATGTCGCTTAAAATAACTTAAAGGTTAACCTGACAGCGGGAGAAGAGAAGATTGTACATTCTTGAATATCTGGCGTTCTGTATTCTTTTGTAGGAGGACTGATGTCAAGGAGCAATTTGTTAGTAGAAACAGCGTTTTCTTTGAGTGTGCAATTTCTTTGTATCATCTCTTTAAAGCCTCTGTGTTTCCGGTTGTATTAGGGGAGATGATGCGGGCGAGTGGTCAGAGTACTAGGCTTAAAATAAAGGTGGATACGAGTTTAACTCCTTGTCCAGTTTTTAAAGGCTGGGGCACACTTGGGACATGTTTAAAATGCCTGACATTTATGGTTCAGATGTGTGCGTCATGAAAGGTTTTTTTGCTTGATTTTCACTACAATTTTTTAACTTGTGATTTATTACTTTTTTTGTTTATTAGAAGCTGAATCATAATCATGAAGGAAAAGATCAGCCATGGGGCGAGCAAAGCAGCGAGGAAAGCAGCACGGAGGAAGATGAGGTAGGTTCCACTTTTTCTATTTTATCTTAATTGTTGGGCGCTCACAAATCTTTAGCTACCCAAGCTTCAAGTTTGTGCTCTCTTACACGCTTTGTTAGTTAAGTTTATTGAAATCGCCGTGGGTAAATCTTTAAAACCTCACTTACCCACTCGACCCATAAAATGTTAGGAAGTTTAAGATACCACGACGGTGAAAAGTGACTTAGCGTTCTTTGAAATTTCAACGTGATTTTCCCAACTCGCTCATTTTGTGTAATGTACGCAAACCCTCCTGGATTTGAATTCCCTAAGAATCGTATAAAGAGAGGATAGATTCAGCGTCGTTTGTTCGAGTTCCCGATAAAAAGTGAAAATAGGAAGTTTCACGCCGTAGTTCCAGAGGGACGCAAAGAAATGTACCAAAAAGTGTGCTTCACGTGTAAAGTTGTTTGATTCTAGTTGTTTCCATTAGTGATACAGAAAATGTTTCTAACTTTGGAGGCATCATTTCGTGGAGCGATTGACCGCTTATGAAATCCTTTAAGTCTGATCATCGAACATTACTTCTGCGGCGGCATTAATTTTTGTAACCGTTCCCTGCTGAAGATGGAGCTGCCGTCACGTGATCATCCGAGCCACATCAATGTCTAGCTGTTTTCAGGGCAAAAGCAGAACCTTTTTCTCAGCACTTTTTAGACCCTGAGTACTGGTCGGGTCCGCGAGATTGAACCCTACTCTGTGGGCGCGATCCATTCAACCAAAATTCCAACCGGTCCGACCGGGAAAAGTGGTCCACCTCAAAAGGTGCACCCGTTTTTCGAAACTTTCCCGGTTGGTCCGAACCGATCCATTGAATTTTGGACCGAAATTTCCGGAAATTTTGGTTGAATGGATCGCGCCCCGTATCTTAGCGTTCTACCGACTGAGCTAGTACTGCTGCGGTGTACCATACAGGTGCTGGAATTGTTAATCATTTGTCATATCATAAATTCATTTCTTGTCCGGCAGGAAAACGAAGAAGGTAATGAAGAGCAGGGAGATGATGGAGATGACGATGATGACGACGATGACTCAGACGATGATGAAGTGGCTTTAGGTATGCAGGGAAGATGAAGGGCATTTGATAAGAGCTTCAGTCGTCACTCCCGATTTTTAACTCGTGGGTACGCGCGAGCGTACCACGAGTTATTGCAGGGACTGAGATATGCAAATGAGTCACTCACTCACTCGTAGTAGACGCACTTCGTAATTAATCGGGTCCGAACTCGAGAGCGCGAAGATCTATCGTTTCCAAAAAAGGACGCGCTCGCCGAAGTTCGGTAGCATCAAATTCCTCGCTGCGAGCGTGCATCGTGCGCTACAGCACGGTTAGGATAAAGGTCTTACCAAATTTAAGACAGGCAGGAATCTTTCAAATTAGTACGATTCAAAAGCCTTTGACCCATCCAGGCGTTAAACTTGACAAGAAGATGAGCATTTGCTCTTCGACTCCTTCAACTTCGACGCTGGCTTGATCTCCTACCTTGTAGCACTGTAGTAGGTTATGTGTATGAATGAATTTATGGCGGTCACTATAAAACACGGACTGCGGACTACGGACTGCGGACTGGGTATAAAATGCGGACTATAAAATACGGACTGGTGAAATGTATGGTATTTTCTTCTTAAGGACTCCCCAAGATCACGGGGGGAAAATGGATGATAACAATAACAGCGGAAATCGAGATAAGAAAACATAAGCTAATGTTTTGCGTCCTACTTCGCGGAGGAGTTGTGTCGGCTTTGTATGAAATGCGTTTACTTGTCAGTAGCCTGGCTTCAATTAGCCTTACTTTCATCCCATTGCTTCGAGTCGTTTTTATGGCTCGATCGTTTGCCCCGGTCGTTTGCCGGCGGAAGTTTCATGGAAAAGGCATTAAATTTGAGACTTTTCGCCAAATCATGTGACCATCCTCAATGGCGTAGTGGCTATGTGAGGTCCGGTTAATCCGAAGGTACCGGGTTCAAATCCCGCTAATGACCTTCTTTTTCCCTTCTTCCTTTTTTTTTCTTTTTTGTTTTGTCTTGTTTGCTTATTTGTTTTGCTGTTTTTTTTGTTTTGTTTTTAAATATATACTTAAATAACTGTTACTAAAGTGCAATAAACAGCAAGAAAAGTATTGTGTTTCCAGAACAAAGATAGTATATTTATAATATGAATTTCTATCATTTTCTAAAATTCACTGTGGGAAAACCAGAGGTGATAACTAATTGATTTTTTTTGTAAACAACGTACCCACGAGTTGACGATAGTCTTTCTTTGATTTACTTTCGTCTCCTATTTATCCTGGCACTTCCACTACGGTTCGAATACCTGTTCACAGACACACTGCACAACTTTGGCAAAGTGTGAAACAGAACCTATCTGATATGTGACTAGCCTGCGAAAAGCAGACGTTTCTCCTCGCTCATCGCCGCTGGGGGACGTTTCGCGAATTTCTGTCGCTGAGTCGCAGACGTTCCTTCTCGCGAAACGTCCCTTAGCGGCGACGAGCGAGGAGAAACGTTTGCCGTTCGCAGGCTAATATGTGACGCAACACTTTCGAGATCGGCACGGCACAGCTTGACTCCGTCACAGAACTCGTGCCAAAAGCACAGTTTCTATATGTGAACAGAAGCACCATCCGGTATATGGTTTTCATGCCGTGTAAGAGTATCCAATGTGGTATGAACATGGCCGAAAGCTGCCTACAGACTCCACACCGCGCACTTATGCACTTTTATATGATTTATAACAACAGATAATGGCCGTGACTTGTCAGGCGATCTGGCTGATCTGTCAACTGAGATTTCCATCAAAGAAAAGCTTATTGATGAGCTAGAGAGTAGCCAGAAGAAGCTACAATCACTGAAGACACAGTATGAGGAGAAACTGTCTCTTCTGCACAACAAGATCAAAGAAACTGAAACGGAGAGAGATCAGGTAAATAAAGACTTGAAGACTAAAGAGTACGTTCCATTGGGGTAATCCGGATCAAGATCAAAGATGCAAGATCACTTGGGTCAATTGATGTATCATGATCCAAGTGATCTCGCATCACTGATCCTGACGCGGATCATCCCAAAGAAACGCAGCGTAAAATCTCTTTCTAAACAGACATGATTTCGCCGCGGTTAACTCCACCTAGCTTTATTCTCTTTTGTAAACTGGCGAGTTTACTCCCGGGTATAATTTAATATTAAGGTGGAGTTTTCATGGTGTTACCCTGGGCACAGTTGTTCGAAGGCCGATTAGCGCTTAACCCGGGTTTCTTTTCCTTGTGTTCAAAAGAATTTTCTCGGATAATTTTCTCTGTTATTTTTAGAGCTTCCAGTCATCAACTTGTAGACAAATAGAATTAAAACTGAAATGCTTTTGAAGCTTTCAAATCTGAATTCAAATCTCGCACTAACCCTGGGTTATCTTAACCCAGCGTTGAGATAGTACGCGCGCTCTGATTGGCCTAGAGGAGCGTTTGCATGAGAGTATGTAAACGTGGTTGTGGCGTCAAGGTGTTTTGCTTTTCGCGCGCATATCACATAAGCACGACTTAGAAAAAGTTTACGAGTTCAAAACTCGACAAGTTTACTTTATTTACCCATTCCTTCGTCGGCTGAAACTTGGAAAATCGTTACAAACAAGGTGTGTCAATTTTTTTTCACTTAAGGTGACATTTTAAGCGAAAAAAATCCGTATTTTGGAAAGCGACTTTTTGCAAAACAAGAACTGATTACGCGTGCAAGACTTCGTGTACAAGACTGCGACTGGTAAAAATTAAAAATCAGTGCCTTAACAAAGAGTTTTACGTTTTTTCTCGGGAAAGTTATTTTATACAAGCGATAGAAAAGTTTTCCCTGTGTTTGCATAGCCTGATATAAACACTCGAGGCGTAGAGAGAATTCTTGACAGTTATGCAAACCCTCGACTTCGTTTCGGGTTTGCATAACTGTCTGGAATTCTGCCAACGCCTCTCGTGTATATATCAGGCTATGCAAACACGGAAAACGCTTTCTATTGCTTAAGTTGAGAACAAGTGTTCAAAAGTCAGTCAGTACAAGACAGCAACAAAATAAAGTTTTACGAACCGTCTTAAGGTAAACGAATATTTCTGTAATACATTGTAGGTACATGAGAGCGTACCCGTCACTTTCTTGGCCGTAAGCAATACAAAGACTAAGTGCGCTACTTCCGGTTCTCGATATCATGATCTATCACACGCTCTCATAAACCGTTTGACCGCAAGTCAAAATAGTTCATGATAGTTGTTGATGGTTTCACTGTTACAAAGTACGTTCAAACTTATCAACTTAGAGGTTTTGTGAATTAAGAAAGGACTTATGAAATGCATTTTTTTTCTTAAAGGGTTGGGCATAACTTACTAGTTGTATTTTAATTTACTTTCTTTAAAGGTGCTGCAAAGCGTGAGAGACCAAGACTCTAAATCAGAGGAGAAGGTCCGGCAAGTACGTGGAGATTACGAGAAAAAAATAAGCCACTTGCAAGGAGAACTAAAAAAGATGCAGGCTGCCAAGAAAGAACATGCGAGACTTCTTCGACAAAAGGCACAAAACGAGCAGCAGCTGAGAACATTTCAGAGTGAGCTGAGTGAATTAAAGAAGACGAAAGTTCGTCTTATGAAGCAGATGAAGGAGGAAGCGACGAAGAGCAAACAGCAAGAGACTCAGAGGAATAAAGAGATCGCACAATTGAAGAAGGAGTCGCGATTAAGACAAATGACTATTAAAAATTTGGAAATGGAGAAACGGCAGAGGGATATTGTGCTGAAGAGAAAACAGGAAGAGGTAGAAATTTATTGTGCGTGCAGGCCTGTCAATAATTAGGGAACTTTAGCAATGACGACGGCGACGGCAACCAGGACGTCAAAAAAGCAATAGGTTTATTACGCAAAACAACAACTTTGCAGGTGCATCACGCTTTCTTGTACATTTATTTACTGTCCTTGCATGACTACGACGTGAAAATACCTAGTTGCGAGTTTTATGGAGGACGTAAACAATCGACGACGAATCTCTTTTTCGCTCTCTAAACTTGAGTACGGTCCTTCAGAAATCAACTCCAGGGAAATTCGCCTACACTTGCCATTTTCAACAAATTGGAATAAACGCGACAAAGATTGGAAAAACGGGAATTCATTTCAAAACTGACGTTTTCGCTGCCGTTGCCGTCGTCGATGCTAAAGCTCCCTAATTTTTCTTTTTTGACAGGACATACCGTAAACTGCCGCTTATAAATACTGGGCTTACACAACTTTGTAAGGGGTTTTAGGAGAGCTTATAAATGGAGGGGCTAGTAACGGGAATAGGAAAAGCGCGTGGAAACAAGCCATAGCAGTGCTGATCAAAATACGTTTTGCATTTACTGATTTGGAATTAGGCTTCAAAACGTCGAAACAACTCGAATTCAGAGGCGGGGGCATATAATTAGAGCTAGAGGGGGCTTGTATCCGGGGGGGGCTTATCATCTAATGTATTTTTTTTGTTTTTAGATAGATTGGCCTATAACTGGCAGGCTTAAAAGTGAGGGGGGGGGGGGGGCTTAACGGCAGTTTACGGTATGTCCATGCAGGTGACCCTGAAGCCAATCGGCTAATTATGAATGCACTGCTCATATCTTTTACCGGAACTTCAGGAAATAAAAAGGACCACACAAAATGCTCCTCATAACTGGTCAGCAACTCTCATTTGGAATGTTACAGGTTCTAAGGGCCTGGGGTAACCCGCCTGTCCATGTAATCTTTCATATGGTCACCCAACCTATCATTTAAACGCGATCAAATAAAAACGAGAGATAGTGGAGTGGCGCGTTACCTCACCTACCTGGGGTCCCCCACCTCCATGTAAACAGGCCCTAATACAAGATTTAATCATAGTTTATGAAACAAAATGAAGCATACCGCAGGAAAGTACTGCTCAGTAGCTTTCATTTTAATGTCCCACCTTAGGATTTCATCCGCAGACTTGAAGTTAGAACCATCTTGTAGAGCACAGTAAACAGTACCAGTATAAAGTTCTTCTTAGTACCCTCCTTTTGAATGGCCACAAATTTCATCCCCATATTCAAGAGGTAGAACCAACTTTTTCATAATAAACTGACCTTCCAGTAGCTCTCATTTGATGCTGGGTCTCATTGCGGACGATGGAGTTTCAAACCACTTCGGACCAGCATGAAATACTGCACAATAGATTTCATTTGAATGGTCACTGTTTAGAACCACCTGAATTCTACTTAATAAACTCGTCACAAATAACTTTTCAGAACTGCTCAATAGCTTCCGTTTCAGTGTCGTCACGTAAGAATTTAATCCACAAACTCCAAAGCGTGGAACTGCCCTGTACTTCGTAATAAACAATGTCAGAGAGAAGCGAACTTGACTTGCTAGGTATGTACCTTTCATTTGAATGGTCGGTATAAAATTTTCTCAGATCTAACGGCTGCCACCTCCAGTACGCGACGTAGTACAAGCATTCAGATTTTAAACACTCATCTGAGGGGTATAGTAATTAGAAACTATTACCAAAAATTCTTACCTTTTATAATTGAAGAGCGATCCTCGCTGTTACTCGTTTAAAAATGCTCTCTGATACATTAGTTAGTAAACAAGCTGTATGATCAGATGAAATGAAAGTTCCAGTTTCCTGTTTCGCTCTTAATATTGAGAATGCGTAACTTCATATTACGAAGAAAAATTACCGTCGTCATGTGTAATTGCGAAGTACTGATCTCTTTGATATCCCTTCCCTCCAAAATCATGATAGTTCTTTCGGTTGTCCCAATTATCGTATTGAATTATTTTGGAAAAATTCCGTGCGAGCTTGCATGTCTCTCAGATATAAGACAGTTCGGCTCTCGATATCCTTCAACATACAATTCAAACTGACAACGTCATCAGTTTAAACTCCACAGAATGAATTTGTGTCAAAGAACATACCTTAATATATGGCTCTGTGTTGCCAGGAAATATATTATTTACGGCTATGATTGCAGATGGCTTGGATAAAAACAGGTTTGCTCTCGAAAACTTTTGCCTAAATGTCATCGTTGTCGATAAAAAACCTGTTGAAAGTGGCAGTGGTTTCATCTTCGTTTGTCAACCAACTTCATGTCTTTCCTTCTATGATCTTGCCGTGAAGGTAGAGTCTAATGGTCGAAAAAAAAACTTTATTTGAATTTCACTATTTTACGTTTCCTACTGGAGACGGTACTGCCATTTTACGTGATCATCTGCGAGCCACGCGAAGGGCTAGCCGTTTGCAGAGAAAAGGCGGTACCTTCTTTTCACAGTTATTTTGAGACCCTGAGTATTGTTCCGGCCTCGGGAGTCGAGCCCGCGACCTCCCGCTCTGCAGTCAAGCGCGCTACTGACTGAGCTAGCGGATAAATTTCACTTTGCCCACGAATGTTTTTGGTGTATGTTTACAAATTTGCCAATTTCAACACTCAAGATATTGGCAAGCTCTATATCTTTTTTGGCTGTTTTACCAGGATTGCTATAAACGTTAAGGTAAATATACCGTGAGCTGCATTTGCGTCCCTTCGGCTTCGTTGGGTCGCGTGTTGTTTCTATTTTAACACTTCTAAAGAACCAAACTTGGGAGCTAGGGTGAAGTGGAGGTGGGTTTCTAAACATAAATGGCAATTACTAATGTTCACTAAATCAGTAACCCTGTGGTACTGTAAAAACTCGCGACTAAGAACCTGCGTTTTCCCAAGGTAGCCTAAATAAGTTCTTACCTAAATGTTAATTGGCACGAATTTAGGCTATTCAGGTTCTTATTAATTGGGTTCTTATTTACTGAAGGAAAAAATACGTTGTAGCTAAGAGTATTGAGTGGTCTTCAACTTATTCCTTTCATAAAATCTGCATACAAATGCATGACAGTTGGGGTAATAAGGCACCTGTCTCCAAAGAGAATTTTGAATGTTGACTTATCTTATTTGCCCAAGTGTACAGAATTGTTTTCATAGATTTTAGGAAATTAGAACCTCTTTTAAATTTTAGGCTAAACAGGTTTTTGTATAGAGGAGGCCTAACTGGCAAATTTTAGCATAACAGGTCTTAATAACCAGGTTCTTACTCGCGGATTTTGATTGTAATGTCAAGTCTGCGAGGAGTAAGTACCTTTCCCAATGTTTTCCACTGTTTACAAGTGCCTTCAATTCCTGCTAAGAGAGCCAATTCCTTTCCACAGGTAAAAGCCCTTAGACGTCAACAGAAACCTATGTCTGGCAAGCTTGGGGAACAACGAAACCAAACGATGTCGAGCACTCGAGAACTCAATGGCACTGAAACAAGTTCACATGATTTCAACTATAACACTTCGCGTGCTGTCACTTCAAGTACCTCGCTTAGCAGTTCATCTTCAACTTCAAGATTTTCTGGTGTAGCTGGTAGGCCATCTGGACTTCCGGTCAAATCGCCAAGAAAGAAGAAAACCATGGAGCAGGCCTCTCGTAGCGCTAAGAAGAAATGGGACGTTATCGATAAGAAGGTGAGATAATATTTGAGTTCTCTTGTATATGATATCAGAGATAATATTTCAAATTTGTCATGTATAGCTGATTCGATAAAAGTTGCTGTTGGCATTGGAAATTGCTAATTGGAGGGCCATTGTTTGGTGGTCACTCCAACAAATCATTTAAGTGGGTTTCGTATGTAAAAATGCCCAATTGCCTGTTACCAATGCCCAAAGCAACCTTTATTGAATGAATATGTATGGATTAATAAATTGCACGCGTGTTTTCAAAAGCTGCAGAACGAGAAATATTGATGCTAACCAATCTTTTTTAAGGAATGGCCCATTTGAGTGTTCTTAGCCTCTTTTTCAAAGCGAGGTCTGGTACACAACCACTCATCAACTTGCGCTGGAATGAAAACGTCTATTCATAGAAAGGGTAGCGCCAGGACTCCCTTTGAAAAAGAGGCTTAAGAAAATTTGACATGGCCTGCTATTCCCTGTTTTGTAAACACTGAAACCCCAAAATAGAGATTTAGGAATCAGACTGTCCCAGTCTGAAAATTACGGACCTTAAGATCCGAGGACGGCGACGGCAGGGAAAACGTCGCAGAAAAAGTAAATTCGCGTTCTTTCAATCTTCATCACGATTAGTCCAAGTCACTAACTTTGACAAATGTAGGCGAACCCTCCTAAAGTTGAATTCCAAGGAACCATATCCAAGTTCGGAAAGAAAGAGGAAATTTCGTCGTCGCTTGTGTACTTCCTCTGTACATCGTGAAAATAGGCATTATTTTTCACGTCGTAGTCGTGCAGTGACGGCAAAGAAATGTACAAAAAAGCGTGATGCACGTGCAAAATTGTTGTTTTGCTAATTAAACCTATTGCTTTTGTGGCGTTCCCTTCGCCGTCGCCGTCGTCAGATCTTAAGGTCCCTAATTATTTCATTATGGAAAGAAAAATTTGCAGCAGGATGAGTTAGATTGTACTGAAACCATCTACCTTGTTTACTTTGGACCTCTTCTATCTTGTTGAGTTGGCTAGTCTAAGTGTAACAGCTGCGGGTTTCCTGACTTCTTTTGACTCAAAATTTAACAAACCACCGTTTTTTTAATTCTCATTCCTCAGGTAACGTCATTGATACTCAAAAGACAGACTATCGCAAATATGGAATCTGACATGGATCGCTGGATACAGGACCGCGATCGTCTCAGCAAACAGTTAGAAAAGTGTCAGATGAAATATAACAGTGCTGTGTCATCCCAAAAGGTATTTTTGAGCATATGATAGTAGGAATTCCTATCTAACTCTCACTTCGCCTATTCCGCCGGACGTTCAGGTAGTGGACAGTGGGTGAAACAGAGAGCGAAAAGAAAAAAAACAAACAAACAAACAACGACAACAACTAAACAGCAAAAGGAGCGGAAGAAAAAGAAAGGAGTTTCCCTCGCCCTCTTGCCGTATTCCCCTAGCAGTTTTTTCCTGCTCACTTCTCTGTCCCGTTCCCCGCTCTCTGGTCGCCTGAAAAGGGCTAGATCGCACCAGTCCTTGTCACTGACTCAGATGACTGTTTCGTGTGCCCAACTATGGCGTTTACCATTTCGGCTTGTTACACAATCCTTCCTCGCGTTCTTTAAAGAAAACTACGTGAGGAGCAACAGATTTGTATTTTTTTTTATTAAATGTACCTGTCGGCAAAAACGTTCCTCTGATTTAATACTTTTTCTGTAAAACGTTCACAGGAAGAAGGCAGTGTACAGGAGATCAAGGAACAGCTAGAGGCTCTGACAGCACACATGGATTACGTGCAAGAAAATATCACAGACTGTCAAACAAGTATCATGGAAATGGAGGTACAAAAGTTTACTCTTTAGAGCTTTTAGGGGAGGACAGATAAGAAATATGCAAAAGCGCGTGACATAAGTCTCCTGTTTCACGGAGGGTTCTTGGATATGTCCTTCGCTGCCCGTAAGGCGTAACCAGGCCCGGGCCGCACAGTAATTAGTAATCCTCACAGTTTGCTCGCAGTCTGTTTTCACTAATAGTCCTAAAGGTACTTTTTTCCTCCACGCTTACAAGATTCAAGCTTGGGAATGCAACCGCCTCTCATCGCTCGCTGTCGCTGGCACGTTTCGGGAGACGTTCCCAGCGACTGGGAGCGATATGAGGTGGCTGTATATTCAAGCTAACAGGATAACAAATGACGGAAAACTCTTACCACTATGTAGTCATCTTTCCTTGCCTCAATGATAATGGCATAACTTTTAAATGTTGGCTGTTGTTTTCAAATTTCAGTTCTTTTCCACTCTAGCTACCCACTGACAAAGACTTGTAGCGACAGTTTTTAACGAGTTTAACAGTTGTTATCTCCTATCTTTTTTGTCTGCAACTGTGACTCACAAGCGACGAATGATAATCCCTGAAAAAAGGTAACATTTAATAGGCAAGTAAATTCACGCTCGTTTATTTGTAGGAACAAGGTGGAGATACTGCTGAGATTGGAGAATTTTTCGCGACATGTACACTGTCCGAAGCTCGTATTCTTCTGGAACATTTCCTAACCAAAGTTATATCTCTGGTGAGAAACAAATCCTTGTTAGATTGCTTTTAAGAGGACGTCGTTAAGCAGAGGCTTTGACGTTTAATTTACTTGAGACAATCTTAAAGTGTGATCATTCATAGTCTGTAATGCAGGCGCATTTTTGCAGTGTGTTTTGGGGAGAAAAGGGAAGAGTGCAAAACAGTCCGTTTTTTTCTCGAAATCGGTCTTTCAAGGCGCGAAACGCCGGCGCGAGCACTTTCACTTGACCGCTCGCGCGTGTTCTTGACCTACCCAAACATACGGGCTGTTTTGTAGTGTAGGGCGAAGGCTGCTTGTTTATGTCCACAGTGGAGTGGTACATGTGACCATCTTTGATTTTACTACTGAGGAAGATTGAGAAGAGTAGAAATAGCAACCCTTGGGGTAGGTGCTCGGGTGGAAGAAAAAGGCGTTGCAGGGGGAGGTGGAGAGGGGAAGAAAATACTCGCCCAACCCCTCGACTGTTTTGAAATGCAGCATAACCGGGTGAAAAAAAATCACTCCCCTTTCTAATTTTAACTACTGTTGTTTTTCTTTTTTGATAATCGCTTACCTTGTATTAACGCTATCCTTTCTTTCAGGGCCACGAAGCTTCCTCTAAAGAAGCGTCAGCGAAAGAAGTGGAAGCGAGGTTGAATGCGATGAAGCAACACAATGAGCTTCAACAGGAATTACTTCAACACGTGCTGCAATATCATGACAGCTTCAGCAGTATCGAAAATCTTGCAGCCGCGGCTGTTGGAACGGACTCTGAAATCAGTGGTTCAGAACTGAGGGATCGATTGAGAGGATCGCTGGTAGGAAATCCGCGAAGTTATATATAATATGAGTGCAGTGGAGTGTTTGTTAAGGCAACATTTCGGGAAGAAAACATGCTGTAACTTAACGAGGGATATCCTGTATATCTTTAGAATTAATCTTTTGTTGCTATAATGCTTTTATCCCAGCCTGTCTGATAGCAGGTGTCATTATTTGTGGATACAATAAAACGATTGTGCGATATAAGCTAACTAAACGAGGTCCACTGTTAGGCTCATATACATTTATTTCTAATTATATCAGTCTCTTTAAGACATTTATAAGTGTTTAATTTTTTTTTTCGCTATTGTCAGATCCATACAAAATAACATTGCAATAGACCTTATTCACGATACCCACCGTCTTTGCACGCGCTTAATGACTGATGTCAAGTGGTTTCTCAAGGGGCAAACAAGTGAAAACACTTGCCAATGGAAGAAATCGCGGTCGAATTTATTCTAAACACCAGAAATGAAAAACTTTTCATCTTAAAACCATAATGGGAAATTATGGTGAAAGTGATCATTTTTACTTTTTTTAGACGTCGTAGCGACCGTAGATGTCCTTACAGCAAGCAATAATGACGTAAATTTTGTCGAAACTCGAGCTGTACATTTTGCGCAACTACTAAATCGTCATCTTGTTTTAATACAGTAAACAAACGCGACCGAAATAACTCGTTTTGGCAAATTTTATCGTTTTCCCCGTGAAATAGCACGAGACATTACTTTTATCCAATCGATCCTAGAGCGCGTGCAAAGATGGCGGGTATCGTGAATTTTATTTATTTATTTATTTATTTTTTCCAGTCACCAAACTATCTAATTTATCTGAATCGTTTCTCATTATTGGCCCATTTATTTTTTTCCATTACCTCTGTATCAAATTTCCAACTGCAACTCGTCTATACTATTTGAATTGTAGCGACTTTCCGATTCTTCATTAAATCCCCTGAAGAAGGACGGCTTGTCCGTCCGAAATATCGGGAAACCTTAAGTCGCTTTTCTCTTTGCTGTTTTGTTATTTATGTCTATATTTTCGTGAATGTGGTCTATTTGATCGTAGAAAGAGCGGGCCGCCCTCTGTGTGAGGCAATTTTCTAGTCGCGCACGTTTTTAAGCACCTGCGTCGAGAGGCGCTGGGTAAATCTTTGCGCACAATACACTACTTATAAATACCTTCAATTTTTTTTTGCTCACTATGTAGACCAGTTTGAATTCACTAAACTCACTCAAGGATGATGCGGGAACACTCTCCAGGTATGGTGTATTATTGAAGACGGAGTTATCAGAGAGTTTAAGCTTCACGCATACGGCAAATGGCAAACGTCAGATTCAAATTGAGACTTCTCAAAATAGAAAATGAGTGGACAAAAACAACTCAATACAATTCTTATGGATAAAAAATTGCGTGAAACTACTAATTTATGTACCCTCTGACGTCACAGATTTTGCAGTGTTGCCCGCTCAGAGACTTTTGGCGGGAAACAATTTTTTGTCATATGTCATGTGATCTCGAAGTGACTAATGAGAGCGTGCGCTGTTGTGGAAAATATCCCTGCTATATAACAAAACCATTTATGTATCCTCACAGAAGTTCCAGTGGTAATACATTAAAAGATTCCAGTGAGGAAGGGCAGCCACAGCCTCCAACCAAACCCAAAGACAAGGTAAGTGCTCTTTTAGCTTTTATCGCCCGACCTGAGCAGCAGCTCATCCCTGGGGGGTAGGGGAAAGGAAATTTCAAAGGACGAAGCGGGAAAGGGAGAGAGAAAGGGGAGAAGTTTCTCTTTCCTCGCTGTCTCCCCTTTTGGCAATTCTATTTCCATTTTCCCCCAGAAATGCCAGGCACTTTGGCTATTAGGAAGCTTAAAGAAGCACGATGACGACGACAATGATAACGTAAAAAAAAACAAACAAGCAAACAATTGGTTTTATGGTAAAACGACGTGCATCACGCTTTTTAGTACTTTCCTTTGACGTCCACTGCAACGACGGGACGTTTTATGGAGGACGCGAACATGCAACGACGAATTCTCCTTCTCAACCTGGATACAACAACAAGAAGAGCAACCAACCAACCATTTTATTTTGGCAAGTTAAAACATTTACAATAACGGCATTAATTAAAATAGATCAGGCATTATAAAGTTACAGTCCTTAAGAATTGAAAGGCAGGAAAAATCGTCCACATTTGGCTAATTGAGCTTGTCTAAATAGGTGCGGTAAAGTTTGAAACAATGTAAATTCATATTTTAGCGATGTTTTCACGACCGTTGTCGTCATCTTTGCTTAAGCTCCATATTATCGCTCGGAGTTCGAACATGGTAAAAGTGTCGGCGGAGGATAGACTGGGCTGTAAATGTCAACCTCTTACGCTTAAAGTTTTTGTTGTGTTCTTAAGCGCTTTCTTTGACAATTCTCTCACCAAGAAACCTCGTCCTCATTAAGTTAGTTGTGAAAAACTTCAATTAGAATCCGACTCAGGAAACATTTTTTGTTTCTTTACTTTTGTTCGTATGTTTACGTGTCCTCGCAGGGCATAGACGCTGTAAAGAGTTTAAAAGAGAATGTATCGTCCTTTATGGCTGCCCATGCTTCAGCATAGTGACTCGAATTTTAGAATCTGCTTTATGTTTTTGTAGGCACGTCGTCGCACTGGTACACAGGAAGAGTTCTTATACCCGGATAGAATCAAAACCAGGCGACCGCCTCTGCTTGACACAGTCGGGGACGAGGAAGATGGTGTTACAACGCCAAATCGTTCACTAGTACCTGCACTTCCGGTTGCCGGGGAGCCCAAGGGTGCTCGTCAGATATCCCCGGAACTCATGCAGAAACTATTGGAGTTAGAGAAATCTCGCAAGACTCAGAGTTGCGAATCTCTCATGCTGCCTCCTCCTGTACCCCAAGGCACACAGAGTCAAAGTCAGGGGGGACCTGTCAAGTCATCCCGGTCCAACTCTCTCGTTGATAGCTCTACAGTGGCGCTTCCTGCCTCATTAGTTCGCGGTAACATTAAATCAAAGTCGGCCAGAAGTTTTCCTGGCAGCAAATACGGGAACTCGGTCGTGAATATGCCTAGGTCCCAGCCCACCTCGCCTGCTCTGCAGAGGAAGTCATTGCCAGATAGGCCTGGGGCGGGGTAAGTTAAAATGTTATTGTTGTAACGTTTCCATTTTAACGAAAGGTAATGGTGGAGTCTTAACACGACCGTGCAGCAAGACCTTGAAATAACAGAAGGTCACTTTCAACGTGGACTTGTTAAAGTGCTTTCAGATTAAAATTCGATACCCTCATACATTGTTAGCTATCCCCATAACACTTTTTGTTTATTCATGCCAATTTGGGTTGGACGACTCGTTTTTCTACCATAGAAGTGAGTAGATTTTTCTCAACAGCGCTCTTAACACGTGTTTACGAGTATGAAATTGCAATTTAGAGCTAATAGCATCCCTGAACTACTCTTTCCTGTTGCTGACTAGCAAATAATTAAACATCGGGAATAGGATTGGTGCGGCAACGGTTATGTAATAATACAAGACAAACGAAGTTAATTCGCAATTATCTCGTACTTGTAGTCAAATATAGAGATCCCAGTCTTATTACTTGGCTAACCGACAATATTAACTCTGACTGATTCTTGTATCCCCAGATTAGCTATGTGAAATGAGAATGAGATACATTTACTCCCAACCTGTATTTACTCAACTCTTGATCAACAACACTCTAGTGATGACGCTATACAATCTTTCGCCAGAGTCTCTAATTCTAAAGTAAAGTTACTGTTTTACTAGTCTACAGGTTTTCTTATGGACATTTTTCTCCATTCTGCTAGGGTTGATGACAGCGCTGTTTTGCAGAAGACCTCCGATGATGTGTTCGCTCGGTTGACAAGCAGCCTCGCTCAGGAGTCCGACCCAGACATGTAAGTACATACACTGTCAAGGTCACGCAAATCTCGCAAGAGGAAAATGACTTTCAGCAATAGTCAGTGCGTGTCGTTCATTGGTAAGTCTTTTAGCACGACTGACGAATGTCCTATTTTTTCCGCAATTCAGTTGTAGTTGACCGAATGAAAAAAATGTCATTCTTGTCTATTTTTTCCTTGTTTTGCCATCAGGTTTTCTCTACGAAATTGTAGGCGAGCGGGATTTCTGTTTCTAATCTTAAGTGTGGGCAGATACTCTTCGCACGAGCGAGAGCTCAGCTGTTTTTGTGGCTGCCGTTTTTGAAAGCAGTGTTAGATTTGTTGGAAAGTTCAAAAACGTTGACGACAAAAACCTCCCTTAACCACCCCCGCACCTTCGCCCCTACCTTCCTACCTCCTAGTCTCTTTTGAATCGCACACACCAAGTTTCGTCTTGAACATGAACGAATTAATTATTACGCTCGCGGGCCCCAAGAAAACGCTTTCAGTGTGGGTTACTCTGTTCTTGAAATGTTGTGATGGTTAAAAACAATTGCGTCAAAAGAATATTATCATAGGGTTAATACAAAACGTTTCTTTTCTCTCTGTGTAGTGGTCGAATGCTCCCACTTCGCCCGCCTGCGGGGAAACCTGCTTCCCTGGTTTGTACTTACGCCGCGACGGGTCACAACAGCGCGGTACTGTCTCTCGACGTCACGGAAGACTTAATGTTTACCGGATCTAAAGGTGAATTTATTGTATTCACAATTGGCACTTCTAAAGGGGTATTACCACAACTAAATTACTCCAAAAAAAGACTTAATTTGCTTTGTGTTGTATCGAAAAACAAATACATGTGGTGTAATTTAAAGGCATTGCTTCAGAGGATTCTTTTGAATGGTCAAACCATGGCATTTGGTGCACAAACGTGAAAGTTAGAAATATGTGACATGTTTCTGTATAAGGAGTTTGTAAGGATTTCAAAGGTGTTCTTGACGATACTGACTTAAACTGACACTGTTTCACAGACCGCACTGTTAAAGTCTGGGATCTTAACACAGGCGAGGAGACACTGTCTTGTGCTGGTCACAAAAGAGACGTGGTAGCCGTGAGATACTGTCATAAAACACAGCGTATATTTGGAGCGTCACAGAACGTTATCAAGGTAAAGACTGAGTATTTGCCGAGTGCCTCGTTAGTTGCAAGCGCCTGAGAAATATAGGGCGCAAATATGAAGCTTACCGCAAGAAACGAGGACGCACGCGTGTCCTCGTGTCTTGACCGCGAAGGCTAGCTATTGCTTATCTGATTGTTTTTAGTTATACTAATTCAGAGTTTATTGTCTTAAACGTTTATAACATAAAACTGCAAATGAAATTATTTCACAACTGTTACGATTTTTCTCTACTGAAAGAGGAAAACAAACGAAAAAACTGAACTGGGATGTATGCAACGTGGGTATTTAAGTTGACAGCGATTTTCACTAGATGTTTCGACTCTCAAAGTTTTCTGAAGTCGTCAGTGCTAGAGCTAGACTTTTTTTTGCAAATGTTTTTCAGTAGTCTTGAGTATTTTTCATCATTTCCCCAGACACTTCGCCCATATTTTTCTTCGTTTGGCTCTTCAGTTTTAATACATAGAACGATATTGGGGAGAAAAGAACTCAGAAAAAGTTTTCCAAGTTCCACATGGGCATTGAACCTACCACCTTCCAGACATCAGCTCAATTCTTTAACCACTGAGCTACTGAGAACTCTAGTGTTGAGTAGCTCGTTTGTTGGCTGACATAGCGACCACATCTTTCAATCACACATGAGTCTTTGACTAAGTCGGATTAGTATAAGATTCTAGAAACTGCCTACCTACTCCTCCCCTAAGCCAACATTTTGCCCTAATTGAAAAGTTAGTTATAACATTGGGTTAGGGGAGGGTAGGTCGACAGTTTTGCAGAATCGTGGGATCAGTGTAAGATTGTAAGAAACCCTCCCATCTACCCCTCCCCTAACCCAACATTTTGCCCGTAGTAAGCAGTTGGTGATGTTGGGTCAGGGGAGGGGTAGATGGGCTGTTGCCAAACAGGATCTTACACTGATCCGCTGACTCCTATTGGTCGTTCTAGGTGTGGGACATTAGGGATGGTAAGTGCATCAAGAGCCTTACGCCACCAGGCTCCTCTCTGGGTACCTTTTTGTCCAGTATGACGTCAGAGACTCAGATTAACGACCTGAAGCTTTCTGCTGATGGTTCACTGCTTTACGCTGCCATGGGAACCACCGTCAGAATGTGGGACTTAGAAAGGTGAGTCACCTGAGGCCCGTTCTCGAAGTTCCTGTAACTTTTTGTTCGCGAAGCCAAATATTAAAAATCCAAGTCTGAGAATAAAAGCGCTATCCGTAGACGACAAACCAGTCAATCTTGTTTTGTTAACTGATAGTTTATTAAGTTATCTCCAAAACTATTGAAACTTCGACATTAAATATAAATAAAACAGCTGTCTGGCCCGGTAATTGACCAACGCTTAATATGCAGCTTTTGCAACAAACGCCAAAGAAGCGCAACAGGTTTAATAAGCAGAGCAAGAATTCTGGCCTTTTGGTACACTTTTCTGCCGTCACTGCACAACTGTGACGAGAGATTTTCTTATGCGACCTAATCCCAAGGCACGACAACGAATTTTTCTTATTCGCCTTTTTGGACCTGATCACGGCTCTTAGATATTCACTTTCAAAAGAATTCCTTTAAGTGTGATAAATTGAGAGATCGAAAAGTCGCAATGAAGTTCGAAAGAACGCAAATGCACTTTGCAAAAGACTTTTTCGCTGCCTTTGCCGTAGTGAGAAGTCCCTATTGACGGAGCGCCGTGGCAGAAGTCAGTGTTTTTAATCGTTCTTTATTTTCGCTTCCATTAAATTGTATTTCACTCGAGTTTATATATATTTTTTTATCAGTTATGCTATGACTGGAAAGCTTGGTGGCCACGCTGGTCCTGTTATGACGGTGCTGCTCAGAGAAACTAATAAAGAATCCCTCGTGTTTACGGGCTCACGTGATCATTACGTCAAGGTGAGAGAGTTTATGGACCCCCGTAATAAAGCTACAAAAATATACCACGTACCATGTCCGAGGGATAGGACCATTATGATCCGTCGAAAATGTGTTATTTTGAGCTTATTCTCATAAGTTATTCTACAGTGGTTGTTCAATGGCGTGAATTTAAGTAACCAAATAAGGACTTTCAGTTTTTCTCGGCATTTTCTGCTTTTCTTTTAAGGAGTGTTTGAAATATGTTCTTTGGAGAGAAATAGAGAATATTACACGGTGGCGAGAAGCGCGAACGAGTGAGATATTAGAGAGTTTTAGATCCGAGTTTACCGCGAACCTCTAACCGCGGTTTGCCGTTACCCGTTTGCGGTTCAACGTTCAAACATAATTCGATTTAGATTGGTGGTGGATTTTAGAAGTGGATTCTGCTTTATTTTTCCACTTAGAAATAGAAGAAAAATCAGTCAGTGAAAATAAAAGAAATTTACGGTAACACTGGGTTATCTAGCAGCAAAGAGCTGTAAATTCTTACATTAGTTCTTCTTGCAATTTTACGGCCGCCATCCTGAACCAGCAACCATGAATGGCACTTGTTTCCAAGATCCAATAGGATTTATCAAATTTAGCATTTCGCCTGTACTTTGTGCCTTTGTTAATGGATAAAGACTTGCTCCACAAGATTTTTGTATCATTACGTGGGATAAAACAAGATTTATACGCTAAAATCTTTCAGGTAAATGACATACGTGAAAACCTATCTCCCCACGTTGAAAACGCACGTCGTAAACCTCAAACGTGACGCGAAAGACTTGTCACGTGACCTCCAGCGGTTAGAGGTTTGCGGTAAACTCGGATCTAAAACTCTCTATTGCTCTTGCACGAGAACATAAAATTCATATCTTCGAGCTAACGTGTAATATTCTTTTTATTATATAAACATACTGATGACGGCGTTTTTGATGATTTTCCGAAGATTTCCAACCACCTTCCGAAGATTTTTCAAATTGTCCCGAAGACCAGACGAACGTTACCGAACACTTTCCGAGAATTTCCGAAAATGTCCGAAGATTTCCGAAGATTGCCGAGCACTTTCGAGGAAGACCCGAAGATGTTTCGATGATACACCAACGAATTTAAGTACAATTTAAGAGACAAACCTGATGTCAGTGAAATTCGATATCTTTACATGTAAAAATATCGTATTTTTACGTGTTCAGATACCACATTTCTCGGTGGTAGAAATCCTTGTAAAACACTGCAGTTTATATGATAAATATTGATAACTGATATGTCTTGTGTGTGTGTTACAGATATTTGAACTGAATGGCTCTAATGTCGGCGTACAGGTTAGTAGAATTTCGTCTTTACTGTATGGAATCTGTATTAGAGTCGATAATGTCCGTGGTCCTTGACTGGTGTTTAACAGAGTCTTGACATACACTTTTGAAGTGACTCGTGGATACGTACCCTTGTCTTACTTTATGGTTCACGTGCGTAAGAGACTTTACACAGAATTGTTAAATCCAAGCAATTTAACAACGTGATACATTACTTGAAATATATCTCGTACAGTATCGCAATTGAAGGAAGTTGATCTGGGGGTGGGGGTTGGGATGATAGGCTTAAAAGAGGTTGCTACTAAATAGAAGAAATGCAGTAACCCTGATAATCGACTTAGGTGTTGCCTTTGTGCATCTCTCGTGGTTTGGTGGATTAAGTTCCTCTTCCTTATCGTGATCGCTTACTTGTAGAAGTCAAAAAGGAAATCTCGATTGGGATGATAAAAATCTTTTAGAAACGGACACGTGCAGCGATGTTGCTCCGCGAAATGTTACGTCGTATGTCTGGTTATCTTTTGTAAAATTCAGTTGATCATACATTGCGTGTAACTGGCGCCGCGACAAAAGTTTTTTGTGGGGTGGGGTGGGGAGATAGGGGTTTGACGTGGCGGTCACCCGGCTGAATAAACTTCTTGCGAGCCTAAAGAAAACGCAAGCATTGCAAGCTAAATTGACCTCATCATCATGTTTCTTGCAGTCTGCCAAGAGCAAGCTGGAGCCACCTCACTATGATGGAGTCCAATCGTTGGCTCTTAAAGGAAAATATCTATTTAGCGGGTCACGCGATAATAGTATTAAAAAATGGAATACTGAAACTCAACAGCTTGTACAGGTGAGTTTGGCACTTGTTAAAATCTTAGATGGGTGGTTCGCGTGCATAGGATTGATAATAACCGACTAACAAAGAAGCTGTTATACTCTCAGCTCTGGGTGGGGGAGGTCTAGATTAAGGTTCAAAGATGTTGTTAAGAGAAACATGAAATAGAGCTAAATTGATCTTAACCCGATGGCTGGAGAGTGCCAACAATGGAGGAGACTAATAATTATTAAACTCTGCTTAACCCTACAACAGTCTTAGTCGAATCGACTGACTGCAGTGGTGATGATGATGATGAACGCTGAACATTCCAAAAGTGCGGCGAAAATAAGTAATTCTTACTGACTAAATGACATAAACTTTCTTAGCTTAAGGACGTTTCTCTATCGCCGTTTGTCGCAAGTAGCCTATAAACATCAAGAATGACATCTGCGCAGTTAGTTTTAGTTAGGTGTTAGGGTAAAGTCTTCTCTATCACGTGACGATTTGTTTTGGTTCCTTTTTAGCACATGACCGGAGCTCATAAGGACTGGGTGTGTGCGTTAGATTTCTTGCGTCCGCAAAACGTGCTGCTCAGCGGCTGTCGTGGTGGCATGCTCAAGCTGTGGCGAGTGGAGAATGGGTCTCCTGTGTGTAAGTAAACTGTTTCCAGCATTTTTATTTTTTTTCTTGGCAGGGGTGCGGGGGATGGGGGTTGGGTGGGGTGGGTGGGTAAGTACTCTATTCTTTTTCTTCCCTTTTATTTTAGGATCACACGTTTTTAGAACGATAAATAATAAAGTTCCTTTTCTAAATTTGGAATATACAGTTGTTGCGGTTTTGTGAGCTGGATCTCCTTTTCGGTAATCCCGGATTCGACTTCTCAACCATGCTTTTGCCCACTGCTATTTGGGACTTTAAATCATGTTATGTGTCACTTGCTTTAATACTTGTCCATGATTTACATTGAGTCGAGTGTCTATAAACAAGCTGCAGGGGTTTCAATAAGCACCGAAGGCCGACGAAACGCGTCGGTTACTTTGCTCATAGAAGTCAGCTACTTTTTTCTAGAAAGAAGAAGCAACTAGTTTGAAAAACGTTGTAAAAAAAAGTGTGTCATAAAATCTGAATGAAAACGTAATTATGACATGTTTTCATAGGGGCCCACTGGTTTTACGTTATGCTTTAGTCATGTGAACGCTATATTTCAGTCAATTTTCACAAGTTTCTTTTTATTGATTTACGCAGAATTTGTTAATGTACAAAAGTACGTAATTTAGTTTTCATCATTTGTTCTTTGCTTGTAGGAATTAATTGTGACTGATTATTCAAAAGCTGAATGAAAGCTACATTTTCTTGAATGAAATACACGCTCCTTTGTTCTCAATTTAGTCCCCAGAACACTGAAAACCGCATTATAGGGCTTTGAAATTTCAGAATTTTCTGGGGAAACACGTCCCCAAACCCCCCTTAGAAAAAAGGGGACTAACGGCCACTTGTTGATAGCCAGAGTCGGTTACTCTATTCAAACCTGTTGGCTACTTCAATTTTTATTGAAACCGCTGTCAAGCTAGATTAACTAATACACTCTCAATATACGAAGGGTAATGCATTATTATTATTATTATTATTATTATTATTATCATTAATATTTATGTAATATAGTCTTCTTTCGGGGTGACACGGAAGATTTTAAAATCAAATGTGGAATTTTAGTTTGATTCGAATCAGATTTGAGAGTTAATTATAGACCTTTCATTTTCAGGTGAAATAAAAGCGCACAGACATCCTATCAACGCTATATGTACGAATTCGTCTTGCGTATTCACAGCATCAAGGTAAGAAAACTATTTAGATTTCTTGTTATGAATTTGATTTTCAGCAGCATGGAAAACTTTGTTTACTGTCAACTTTTTTCTGTGTTTCAGCGACCGGTTGGTTCGCCTGTGGCGCGTAACAGGAACACTAGAAGAGCAACTGAATGATTTAGATCGCTCTGTGGACGTGTAGTGCTGTCTAGAGTGAATTTATCTTAGAATAATATATGAAATGAATTTTTTGCTATTTTCAGTAGAACACTGCAATTTGTAAATAAGATGTATATGCTTGTCACACGTCAAATTGAATTACTACACTTGGCTACATATGAATTTCTGAAGTTGTTGTCTGTTGCCTTTCATTTTAACACAAGCTATACGCCTTATTCTAAAGTGATGGCAATATTAGTCATATCATTTGTTTATGTTAATTAGCACTCTTTGCATCGACTGCATCCGCAAAAGTCCAAAGAACTTTTAAAGGAGGCACTGAGTACTAATTATCGCGAAGACAAAGAATAACTTAAGTTGTCGCCATTTTGGAATGAAGTGTATGTACAGGGTCCTCTGATGAAATCAAGAGAGAATTCTCTCTTGTAAAATATCACAATCTTGATCTCGCCACCCACCTTCGTAGTTCTATGCCCCTCTGATTCACTGCAGAGTTTTTAACATTTTCTCGTCATTTCTATGGTCTGTGATTAAGGGCCTGTTTACATGGAGGTGGAGGACCCCTGATAGGTGAGGTAACAGGTAGCAGGTCACCCCATCTATCATGCAAACGTGATCAAAGTGCTGTCAAATGAGAGATTATATAGACAGGCGGGTTACCCCACCTAAGCGGGTTACCTCACCTACCTGGGGTCCCCTAGCCTGCGTGGCAGGCGCAACAAGGGGAGGGAGAGGGGGAGAAAAGCACCCCCCCTCCCTTTTTCCCTCTTTCCCTATCCCCTACCCCTTTAGACGCCTGCTACGCAGGCTAGGGGTCCCCCACCTCCATGTAAACAGGCCCTAAGAGTAAAGACAGGGCAGCAACAACTCTCTAGAGAGGAATGAAGGAATCTGGTCGAGCCCCAATGTGCCACTCTGTATGAAGAGGATGAGTGATTAAGGCTGGCTTTAAAAGTTGTGCTTATGCCGTGCCAAAGTCAATTGATGGAATTGAATCAATTCATAAATTATGCATTCTTACAGAAAAGATTTAAAAAGTTGAAGAAGCTAATATTTTATTTTTGAAGGGCAGGAGCAACGGGCATAAAAGTAAAGAGAATGAAAAATTGTTGTCCATTCGTTATTTGCAATAACATTCAAAGTCTTAAAGGTCCATTATCAGCTAATTAGGTTTCTTGAACAATCGTGCCAAACAAATTGTGCTCGTCATTGCGTCATTTTCATGGTCTTTACTCTCGCTTCCTGACCCACAAACGTTAGTCGGTCAGGAAACTCATTACGAAGCCTCAACGACGTCTCCGTGGGGAGGCTGTAGTTCGATTACTTTTGCCAGTGTTTTTGCTTTTCCTTAAAGGGACCTCGCGAAACGCATGAGAACGGAAACGGGAAGGTGATAAATCTTACTTTTTCTCTCTGAACTCGGACGCGGCCTAGTGTCTTCATTTCCCGCCTAATTTCCCCTCTTTAAAGTAAATAGGCAACGTGGAATAATCGCGAAAAAGTTTGAAAGGATGCGTAATATTTTTTTCAGTTTCATTGGCGTCGCCTCTGTCAGATCGTAGGGACAACGGCAACGGCAGCGAAAACGTCTCCGAAAAAGTGAATTCGCGATGCTTCAAACGTCATCGCTCTTATTCCAACTCTTTTACAGTAATTTGTCAACTGTTGGCGATTTTTTCAGGAGTTGAATTCTAAAGGACTGTATCTAAGTTCACGAAAAGAAAAAGAAAATCGTTGCCTTTTGTTGACGTCCACCATAAAACTTGAAATTATTATAGGACGTTTCGCGTCGTAGTCGTGCAGTGACGGCGATGAAATGTACAATAAAAACGTCATGCACGTGCGAAGTTGTTGTTTTGCCAACCTAAACATATTGCGTTTTTGTCGTTCACGTTGCCGTCGCCGTGGTCGTTGCTTTAGCTCCCTCTTATTGGGACCGGCGACAGCAACGAAAATGCCACATAAAAGTGAGTTTGCTTTCTTTCAATTGTCATCGCGAGTATTCCAACTCTATCACTTGGTCAAATGTAGGCGAACTTTCTGGAGCTGAATTCCTCAGGACCATACCCCGTATTCAGATTGAATTCTTGGGGACTGAACCCAAGTCTAGTAGGAGAAAGAAAAATTCATCGTCCTCCATAAAACGTCGCTTCAGGGATTTTCACATGGTAGTCTTGTAGAGAAGGCAAAGAAATGTACTAAAAAAGTGTGCTGCACTTGCAGAGGTGTTGTTTTGGTGCTTTTTTGACATTTTCGCTACCGGCACCGTTGTCGTTGCTTTAGTCGCCTCCTCGCGCGTCTCGTAATCAAGAATTGCGTCTGTATCCGCGAAAATCTGTTTCATCGCGCGTTTTCCATCAAAGCGTCGGTTTTTCAGTGGCACCCAACGGCAATTTTCGGGAAAATATCTGTTCGGAAGACGATTTGAGAACTAGAATTTTCGGAACATTTGTTGTAAAATTTCTTGCTTGCCTGCCTCTCCTAGGATTTTCGAACATCTACAAAATGGTATAATTACCCATTTTAAACAGATATTTACCCTAAAAAAGGCCACCTAGAATCTTCGGGAGCCTTTTCCTGGCTGAAATTTTCGAAAAGGTAAGTTTTGATACCTATAATTTTCTGATCACTAGACTTTCAGCTAGGAAATCCGAACAGATGAAAAGTTTTTAGGGGATAAAAATATGCCTATATCTACCGTTTAAATACTAAAATACGTTCAACAATGCTATGTTAAGTGGTTTTGAACTATATCCTCGTTGAGTGCCCCTGGTTTTTCAGGCGTAATTACTGCATATTAAGCATTTTTTCCGTGGGGTAACGCTACTAGCGAGTTCAGGGCAACCACAACGACAACGGTTCAAGAAAATAAGCAAAACAAAACTTTGAACGTACAGCACACTGATGTTGTCAAACTTGATTGAAATGGCGATGCGATCGTCGCGATCATTGCTGAAAAATGGCAGCGGCCGTTAACGCCGAAAGGGAAATTTGCATCGTCGCTTTATCAATGGCGATCGTCGCGACTTAGATTTCGTCGGTAGGACTTAACCATTCAGAGGCTCAGAAGTGTTCTTCTGGTCACGACACCTGATTTTGTTTTGTTTTGTTTTGTGTGTTTAGCCCATATTGATGTCGTGAGCTGTCTGACTGATCTAATGCAAATAATAACCCCCTTTATGTCTAAATTGATCTATTAGAAGCCCTCATGCGAAACCTTCCAATCGTCGTCAACTTCAATAGTTATACTACGTATTAACAATCAAGAGATTATTTTCCGTGTACAGATTAAAAGAGCAGGTTGACCCGTCTCACGATACAAAGTTCGCCACGTGAACTGCAGTGTAAGAAATGAGAGGGGACAAGTGTTAAGCTGTTGGAAATCTTTTTGAGGCCGTTAAGATTACATTCAGTTCCGTGTATGTGACCCGGTGGTGTATATCATGCCGTCTTTCACTTTACATAGCTCAGTGCCACTTAGAACGTAAGTAATCTAAAGTTGAAAAATGTTCTTAGAGTTTACTAAACACTTGAACTGTATGTTCCGGTTGAAAATCGTGAAGTGAGAGCAAATCCTATTAATAACAAAGTTGAAAACTCGACTTTCACCAACGAAATACAACAATATGATTCTGTTCTCTCTTGACTGCTTTGCATGTACGTTTGACAAGAAAGGGTTATAAGATTTGTTAAATGTCAGTGTACAAATCTATTATTTTCATCAAGAGGCGGGAAACTTACATTGTCTAGAAATTTATCCGTTGATAATCGGCTAAATCCCGTACAAATTTGTTACATTTTTATGTCAGTTCGGACGGTTGTTTATTTGCGTGACTTGGACAGTGGTGTGCTCAATTCAAGCTAATTCAGAACTTACCCCAGCCCTCGAGCCGTGAATTTTATGAACACTTGCTTCTTACTCTCAAACTGTAACCCACTAAAAAAAACTGATAGAAGTTGTAGAAGTGTATGTTACATTTTTTATTCAGTAGTAAAATATTTTTAAAATATACGTTCTTTTTTCGTGTTTTCCACTTCAGAACGTGATACAGCATTCTTTAATGAAGGCACGTAATAAATATCCACTAACTTTCGTCATCACGCGATCTAGAAGTGCAATTACCTCGACTCGATTCTGTTAGATAAATTCTTAACATTTTCTGCAACTGTTATGAATTGGCACAGAATCCAATAAAAGTTACTGTATTTTGGAACATTAGTGGACAAGTTAAGGTTTTAAAAAGGAAATACGGTCTGGTTAAATTTGTATAAGCTAGTAATTTATGCATATGATCCGTCTCGAGGTGTAAATAAAATAGTAGATTTGTCATGCAAATTTTCACTTCTAAGTAATTTTCCGGCCGAAATTGTCAACACTGTAGAGAAAAATATTTAATTTTAATAAGTGTATGATGTTTATTTATACCCTGGGAGCGGAGGTAGGATAAGTCACGTTTAGAAGTTGGGAATCAGTTTGTTTACATGTGTGGAGATGAAGTTCATCAAACGATTTTTCTCCCATTTTTGAGCCTTACGTGGAAATATAATTAAATACTTTACAAAACAAAATATTATTGCCATCTCGGCTATATCTACTCGGGCATAATCCAGCCTGAAGGTTTTGTACAACAGGAAGAGAGAATACCCCCACTTTAAGTACGTGAACACCAGGGAAGCACGGAGGGAGAACTGGGGATAACGTCCTCGTTCGCTGCAGCGCGGACGCCGGTTTTCCCAAGTTTCCAATTTTTACGATGCGGCCTTTTTTTTTTTACAAAGTTTCATCAGTTTACAATTAAACTCGCCCAATACAGGTTTGCCCTAAAAATAACTAGTCGACAAGAAAAGCAAAATTTCAATTTGAATTGATAGTATATTGTAGCGTTTCACGGTTATTTCCCGCGAAATGACGTAGCCCAAAACAGCTACTGAAATACTGATTTGTGATTGGCTATCTCCATGGTGGTGAAGAAAAATAAACAGTTGAATTATGGGAAAATTACTTCCAAGCCCAAGCGAAAGGCAAAATTTTTTTTGTTTGCGAGATAAAAATATCATGTTATTAATTAGGGAAAAGCGCCTCTTTTCACGCTGGTTTCCCACCAATGGATTCCGAGCAAACCGCGGTTAACATTTATCGCTAGTGATCGCTGTAATGACGAAGGGACACTTGTCTGAGAGACATTGTTCGCTGCGAGGAGTTCAACGAAACAAGAACTTCATGAGGCATTACCACGAAACTACTTTACGGCTTTTTAACGATGGAAGGTGCATCAGATATTGCCTAATTCATCTGGACTTCCTATTGCTGTGTTTGCTGCTCTTATCGGATCTTAAATAACTTCCTTGTTTTTTTATGATGTTGCTTTATTTTTCAAGGGCCGACGACTATTTGAACGAGCTTTTCCTGAATGCTGCTAAGGTGAGGTTTCTGTAGTGATCATGTAACGCTTCCGTTTAGCGTAATTACTTTTAGTTTGCTGCTTCGTTATCGCTACTTTTTGTACTCTTTTTGTATGAAACGTTTGATCAGACTAACTTTAATTCCATCTTTTTAAATACAGAATGGTGACTATGAACGAGTTCAAAACTTTCTCGCTCGAACGTCAAGAAACAGCGTAAGTTAAGCTTACAATACACATTCAGAAATAAAATAGAAATCTAGGCCACCAACAATGGAAGGATACATAACACCTAGGGTATTTGTTACGCCAGCTTGATCTAAATTAAACTTTTGCAAGCATTTATAAATTTTACATTCAAGGTGCTCGTTAATGAATAACTGTCTAAGTACAATGTATTCTAAAATTGCTTGTTTTGTGTATCTGTTTTAAATTCAGTCTGTCAATGTGGATGCAAAAGACAAAGGCGGTTACACAGCAGTCATGTTAGCAGCAGTAAACAAGCACGAAAAGGTGATGAAATTTGAGGTTATTAGACCCATTAATACGTGGAGTGGGTAGCGCTATCCAACAGGCCCCAGTTTTTCAAAAGGTGGATAGCCCTATCCGCTGCATGGATAAATCACTATCCAGTGGATAAGGCAGTTGGTCTTCATACTACTTATCCGGTGGATAGCGCTATCCATCGGATAAATCTCTATCCACAGGATAACGCAATTGGTTTTCCTAATACTTATCCTCTGGATAGAGATTTATCCCGTGGATAGTGCTATCCAGCTTTTGAACAACTGGGACCAGGCTCCAGGTGTTCAAAAGATGGATAATGCTATCCAATGCAGCCAGATAAATCTCTATCCACTGGATAGTGCAATTGGTTTCCCTAATACTTAACCACAGTGGATAGTTTTTTATCTGGCCCCGGTTGTTCAAACGTCGGATAGCGCTATCCACCGGATAAATCACTATCCAGTGGATAGCGTAATTGATTTCCGTAACACTTATCCACTGGATAGTGATTTATCCGGTGGATAGCGCTATCCAGACTGAAGAACTGGGACTTAGGTCTGGCGTTAGAATAATGAGCTTGACTGGGCTTAACATCAGACTCAAGAAGTTGGACCTGACATAAATTTATTGAAATGCAACAGGCCTCAGGACATGCACACACTTAAGTGTTGTGTGCCACAATGGACTTCTTTTACTAATATTGTATTAAGCATGTTCAAACTCTGACTGATAATGTAGGCTCAGTTTTGTTTCAGTGAACAATTGCACTGCCTTTGAAATTTTTTATTCTTCATCATTATGCTATTTTTATTATTATCATTATCATTATTATTATAATAATTATTATTTATTTATTTATTTTCCACATGAAAGGCTGTTGTAGGGTCTCAGTTTGAACATTCTGACTTATGGAGTTTTTGATTCACTTCCAAGGAGAACAAAAAAGAAAAAAAAGACTAATAGTTTTCCTTTATTCTTTTGATGTATAGGTGGTGTCATTGTTATTGAACTATGGAGCTGACATAACTCTGTGTAACAGCAAAGGGCAGTCAGTTTTGGATTTTGCACCAGACTCAATGAGACCACTTCTTCTAGGTAAGTTAAATAGTCTAAAACATCTTTTTGGTTGGAGGTAGCGTGGGTGAGGAAGACAGTGGACAAAAGGTAGTGAATGCCCACAGTCAGCTAGCGTGCAAAGAAAGTCGTGTCCGATAGCCCGGGACTAGTGGATTTTGCTCCAGGGCTAGTGATTTTTGTTTTTAACTTGCGCGATGGGCAAGTGCTGTTTTTGGAGGAAATTCAAATCACAGAAAGATTGTAATCAATACTGCTAATCAAAAAGGGTTTGGGTTAGTTGAAATGACTTGTGGGCTAGTACATGCTAGCTACAGCTTGCCCGAATGACAGGCTGTAAAACTGACTTTCTTTGCACCCTGACAGTACCCTTTTTCCTCTCGCTGAAGCCTCGTAGCGAAGTATGAATTTTAATATATTAAAATTGGTCTTTTGAAATTCCCTCTTGCTTGAGTAATATACAAGGTAAGCTTAGTTTTAATGGTTTTAATGCTATTATTGAATGAAAAGTTGGGGGTTAAATAGAAATGTAATTATGATGTTTTCATTGACTTTCAGGTTCTGTAGCACGCCAAGGTTAGTTCAGTTGGATTTGTTTAGTTCAATATCTGCTACATGTAAATGTAAAGTAAGATTGTTTTATATAGTGTGACTTCATAATTATACATTTAAAAGTGGGTTGTATTACTGTACTGTTGTGGCAATTAATTATTAAATATTGTGATAGATGTACAGTTTTGCAAAAGTCAATTTACAGTGTCATTTCATAATCAGGGCTTCTGATATTTCGCGGAAAAAAAAGCAAAATTTTGCGGGATTTTCAGGGGCAAATTCGCGGAAAAATCGGCCGATTTCGCGGGATTTTCGCGGGAAAAAAATCAAAATTCGCGGCACAATCGGCCGGTTTCGGGCAATTTTGCGGGAGAGAAGTTAAAATTTGCAGAAAAATCAGCCCATTTCGCGGAATTTTAGCGGAAAAAAGTCAATTTTCGAAGGATTTTCAGGGGTAAATTCTTAGGAAAATCGGCCGATTTCACGGGAAGTTTCGGGGGGAAACTTCGCCAAGAAACAATCAGTAAAAAAAAAAGATTTCGCTGGGATTTTTTTGGCAAATTTGGCTAAAATCGATCAATTTTGCGTCGATATGACCAGCATCGGTGAACGTTTTTGTAGTAGGGATAATCATTTGCTCTTTCAACAACAGTTCGCTCGAGAAATGAGCGAATGTGAAAGCAATGAACATTATGGTTAGTGCCGTTTTTCGCAACGTTCATCTAAAAACGCCTGGTAGTTTTGGGACATTGTTTACTCGTTGCAGTGACTAAGTTTCAAGCTAAATTTGGACGTTTGGGGTGAATAAAACCGGTCTAATAGCCAAGATAAGTATTAAATATGTTTTGCTGATATGGATTTGGAAATATTTCTGGCGGATTTCGCGGTATTTCGCGTTTTTTTGGGAATTTCGCGGGATTTCACGGAATTACCTGAATTTTGCGGGTCCGCGACCGCGCGAAATATCAGAAGCCCTGCATACCGTATTTATTCGAATAAGCGCCCAACCTCGAATTAACGCCCACCTCGAATAGGCGCCCATCCTAAAGGAAGAAAAAGTTAATAAGCGCCCAGCCTCGAATAAGCGCCCACCCCTACCCCACCCCCCTCCCACTCCCACTCAAACTGAAATAGGCGCCCACCCCCTTACACCTACCACCCCCCAAAAAGGAATAAATACTAATAACAGACTTGCCCGAAGACGGAGTTTTCTTCAGAGTGTTTTGCAGAAACCTTGCTTTGTTACATCTTCGCGTTTTGTTATTACCATTTACTGTTTTGTTGCAAAATATACATGTTACACTTCTTGAAAATGGTGAAAATTTAATAAGCGCTCAGCCTCGAATAAGCGCCCACTCTCAAGGTCCAAAAATTTAATAAGCGCCCAGGGCGGTTAATCGAATAAATACGGTAATTGTCTTTTCACAAGAGTTATCAGTTCACAGTCAATGGAGAAATTCTACTGACTAACCACTAGATACTGTCACATAAATGAGTAGTTCCATGTATCATTACACTGCTTGTTTAAAATAATATTATCTTACTTTGTGTACAGGATATTCCTCGCGTCATTTACTACAGGCTGCTTGGCAAGGAAATTCACAGCTTGTAAAGAAGTTACTAGTAAGGGACCAATAATTTTTGTATTCAAGATTCTCACCCATACAGGTTTCAAGTTGTTCTTAACTATTGAATGTGCTTTCAGCGTGATTGTTTTCAGTAAGGCAAAGTCATCTCAACTTATGTTTCAGGCTTCAAAATCAAGATCAGCCATGTTGGATGTAAACTGTAAGAATGCTGATGGCTTGACTCCTTTGCTTCTAGTTACCAGGGATTTAAACCTCTTTGAGAAAAGTATGTGATTTATTTTCAGTACAGTAGAACTTGAAGTTTGATTACTCGAATTCCCCACTAACGTGAACTAAATTTCCTTTCTCTTGAAAATGCCAATCAGAGTGCATGTAGTATTGTAGCCATAAAGATGTAATATAACTATCTTAAAAAATAATATTTTCTGCAAGGTATCCCAGTTTTCTGACCTTATTAGTTCAAGGTCTGAGATGAAAAAACATTGGATCATATTATAATATAATTTTTGTTATGACATACAGTGTAATATTCTGTTATTACTAAGTATTTTATGATTATGATTGCACTTGTAGTTGAGAAAGCTGTTCTGAATAATGGTTACCATCCAGCAGAGGTGGTCAAAGAGTTGCTTCAACACAACGCGTAAGTTGTATAATATAACTTTGCCACCAGACTTGAAAAATTTCTTTAAATTCTGTTGCTTTCTAGGGCTGATTTAATATGGTTTGCATTAATTTTGGTGAACTTTTGGTTCCTGCAGTGACTGTGGAGCTAGAGACACTGAGGGGAAGAGGCCGCTTCATTTAGCAGCTCACTGTAAAGGAAGCCATGCTAAGAATGTTGTTGAGATGCTCATTGAAAAGGCGTCAAGTGATATTGGTGAGTTTTACTCCCAGGGGCAGAGAGGGGCACGTTGGGGGTGGGGGATGGTAGTAGTTTTAAAGACTAATGTGACAAGGACAGTGCATGCAGTCAAGAGCTTCTTGCACTTTTCACTTGTTGTTAGAAATTCCTATATGCATGATATACATTGTAACAGTCAAACGCAACAGTGCATGAGAGGTCAGTGTTTACATTTTCTTTTATCAATTATATCTGGTAAGTTACACATGCTTCTGTTGGCTACATGACTGTTAAGGTCATATGCTTTAATTTAAATAATTACCCTTAAATTGGGCTTTTTTTGAACTTTTTTTTGAGCTTTTTTTGTTGTCTTAGAGGGTGTTTCCAATTAAGGTTCTGTACATGCTGGAAACATTGATATGTTCTACTTAGGCTTACAACTGTACCTGTGGATAATTTGACCAAAATTAATTAATTGCATATGTTACTGGTTTTCAGATGTACCAGACAGGTTTAGCAACTCCCCGCTGCACTGGGCAACCAAAGAAGACAATCAGCCTATTCTATTGGCTCTTATCAAGGGGGGAGCTAATGTTAATGCAAAAGGTTATGTTGGAAAGACTCCTCTCCATATAGCTGTAAGTGTTGGGTTGTGTGCATGGTACGATCATTAATGTATATCTGTTGCCTTTTGAATTGTTAAAAAGGAAATACATGAGAAACCACTGAGAGAATTAACATCTTGTGAACGTCAGCCACCCAAGGAAAAATCGTTCAAACTCAGTAGGTTTGGATAACTTTTAGCCAGCAGAATTTTTGGTATAAAATACAGTCATGAGTCTGCTAAAGGGAAACGTGTTCCAATGGAATGTTGCGGGCTACACATCGGGAATATCACTCCTTGTGATTACCCTTAAGCCTGCCAGCACCAATAAAATATTTTTTTCACTTAGGAAAAATCTCCAGCAAAATAAAATGTCAACATATTATTTTCAAGTTATGATCTGTACTGACTAGTTTAGCCAAAAATGGATATCTTAATGTAGCCAGAAGAATTCTGCTTCAGTGTTTACTAATATGGAAACTTTTAATAAATTCATTTTATTAAACAGGCTTCCCATGGATATGAAAAATCATCTGGAACCTTGCTGGATCATGGTGCTGATGTGACAATCACTGATGACAATGGTATGTACAGCTGTGGGTGCAGAAATCAGGGAAATTGAGTTTCACTTGTAATTTAATGCAAAATTGTCGCTTCAGTGATTCCCTCGAGATGTCAGACTCTCTTCTCTCAAGATGAGATACTTGTCTTGTCTCCGCGTGTCTGGCGAGAAATGCAAGGAGACTGGTAACTTGCCTTTCAGCTGTACTGTGTGTAACGGGTGGATGTGTGACGTGGTGGGCTAATGGTTAACGTAATAATGTATGGTACTTAGATCTACACGAGTGGATTTGAAACTTTGCCTTGCCAATTAATCCAATGCTGATGATTATTATTAGTACATGTGTAGGAGTACTGGTACTAATAATGTTTCTGTTTTTTTTGTTTGTTTTTATTTAGGTCTCTCACCCGTAGATGTAGCTAGAGGAAGAAAAGTACAGACAGTGCTTAGAGGTGTGTTGATATACTTTGATACAGTATGTGATAAAAACCTACCTTATAAGACAACATGTAACTTCTTCTTAAATGGACTGTTATTTGAAAGAGCTTTAACTTTTGTCAATTGTTTTTTTATTTATTTTCTTCTGGGCTTTCAGTGTTTGGTCATTTAATGGTGTTTTATTTATATGTATTCATGAATTTTAGTTTCATACAGTCTGCTCCTTGGTAAAAGTTTGCTTTTTTACTTGTAGATGCTTGGGCAGAACAAACCAAATATTTTAAATCAAAGAGAATCTTTTCAGGTAAAGTACTTGTATATGCTTTGTAGGTGCATGCGGCAATGAAGGAAATGATCAAATTAAAAAGGATGGCAAATATGTGGAATAAATTTTATTAGCAAGCCATTGTAATCGTTATCACTGGATCATCCTCGTTGTTCTTCTTGTACATGGCATAAACCTTAGATGTTTTATTTTAAACAGCTCCTGTGCAACCTGCTGATCAACAAGACCTGACTGAGCCAAACACCCAGACTGCAGTAACACAGCAAGTCTCTGAGGTGGTTCTTACAAGCAGTTTTTATTAGAGGCTTTTAGATTCGAGCTGGACAAGACGACTACCGGACGGGAATTGACGAGGTTTTTTCGCGTATTCTCCAAAAATAGAGACCCCGAAGAGCTTGATTTTACTTTTTCCACCAGACAAGTTAACAAGAGTATCTAATTGAAGGAGGTTAAACCCTCTCCCGATCGCAAATGATAAAAGTTTCAACTTTTGAAGACTTGTTTCCCTCCATTACAACATTAGAAAGTTAAAGACACCGTTTACACCGGTCTGGACAAATTTTTGAACGGGCAAGAACTTGCACGGATCCGCCTTTCCTTTACACGAGACCTAACGAACCGTACAAATTTTTTGACCGAGAAAGTGTGTTAATTTGCACGTTTCCGTGTAAACGGGGTCGCACAGACACGAAAATTGTCCGGGCCCGTGTAAGCGAGGTCGAAGGCCTAAGATGACACGACCGAAACGGCAACGTGAACGTCAAAAAAGTATTGGTTGAATAGGTAAAACAACAACTCTGCACGTGCAGCACGCTCTTTTGTACATTTCTTTGCCGTCACTGCACGACTACGATGTGAAAATGTCTGGTTTCGCGTTTTATGCAGGACATGAACAAGTCACTACGAGATTTTCTTACTCTTTCTGAACTTGGTTATGGTTCTTAAGAATTCATCTCCAGAAGATATCGCTTACATTTGACAAACTAAGCGAGTTGGAAAAATATCGTGATAGAGACGATAGAATGACGGCGGCTATCGCTTTTTCCCGCGAAAATGACACTGGTTCACGCGGGCGCACTACTTTTTAATAGTATTTAGAAAATCTGGTTCTCGTAGTCGTCCGCTTCTTAGAATCTAAAGGTCTCTATTGTTGGCTCCTCTGCATCCTATTTCCAACAGTGATTTTCTTTGGCCTCAAGAGTAGTCACATAATCTTGACAACATTGATTTTCGTTATTTTATAGGAATCTACTATCACCCGGCTCAACACAGCCCCACTTCAAGGAGTAGAAAGTTAGTGAAAAAGAAAAGAAAAGTTGCATAAGATCCAAATTATATATATGCGTTTTTTTAAACTCTTACTCAAGTTATCTAGTTTGGTGGATGCACTTTAACTTTTGATATTTTCTCTTTGAAGGTTTGAATCGTTCGTTCTCTTGTTTCCACAGAAAATGTTAAAAAAAGGTCGTCTCAAAATTCATTACGAGACTTTTCCGCACTTGAAGAAAGGTATGTATAGTGATAGCATGCAGAACAGCCGCATTATCATTATTATTATTGTATATTCTAGGAGAGCGCAGAGAACGAGCGACGAGACAGGCGAATAACGCTATCTTTGTTCATCGTATTAACCTGAGCCGAATTTATAAAAGTTACGCAAGTTTCGCAGGCTTCCTAGCCTGTGTACAAACGTCTCCAGTTTTTGTTCCACGCGGGACGAAAAAGGAAGTAGGCACGCGGAAATTTCATACTAATAATGCTCGGTTTGGTGTCAATGAGACTGCCTTACTTATATTGTTCTCTGACAATTGTTGCTGGCTTTTTTTTTTAACCAGGAAAAACATTCTTCCCTCAAGAAAGATTTCTGATCTACGCATGCCAAGAATTCCATCAGTTTCCACTACTAACTCGAACCCAGGTTCCCGGTCTTCTTCTGGCTTAGTTCTCCGAGAGCATTCCAGGGAACAAGAACTGGGTTAGTTCCGTACTTCAATAAAATGCAAACGTGACTTTCTTGATGGCGAAGCTGTATTAATTGTTTGAGGAAAGAGTGTCCTAATAGCGAGCTTTTGTAAACTCTTTGCTCTTGTTAATTTCAGTTTCAAGTGCAAGAGATGCCCAAGTGACTTCAGGGGCTTTGCCAAGTTTGTCTGTTCTCAACATCGAGCTAAGATATGTCAGGTAAATAGAAAATATTTTCTCTTATCTCATGTGTTGAGGCATTTTAGCCAGTCGGCATCTAGTGTGTTGTTTTGTTTTTGTTTCTTTCTACTTGACATATCCTTCTGTCAAGTGAAAGGCGGGACACAAACCTTTATAAAGACAAACAGAGTAACTAAGCAGTCAAACTCCATCTTTGAGGAGTAATTAAGTGTCTACGGAAACGATTTCCGGGCCTTAAGGATGTGACAACATCATGGAGGGTACCCACATAATGTAGCTTCGTGTTTGAAAGGATTGACTGTATTATGCTCTCCTTATACTCCTTGTTAAATTGTATAGACCTTGTCCCTCTGTTTAAGTTGCCGCTTTTCTTTTCTTAGAAATTTACGTGGAGAAAAACCAGAGTCGCGGAATAAAAACCGTCCCTACCATTTACCCCTTCCGCCTAATTATCGCATACGTCATCGACTTTCAAGCCCAGTCCTCACGTATCAGCGCAAGATCTCTCCACCAGCAACACCTGAGAAGGACTTGCGACTGAGATCGTCATCGACCAGTCAGGTCCCAAGCCCCCGAGTAGCTGTACCGTCAAGAGTACCTCCTTTGGGAGTGAACCGAGTTTTGACCCCAGAGTTGAGATCCATCACTTCACCAGATATAGCTCAACCCATCTTACCTGTAGCAGCTGATGTCGTAGATCTTGGTACGTACGAAAATTCTTCTTGTTCCGCGTATTTATATGTTTTTAGTACTTGATCTGCCTTCTAGAGAGGTTAGGTATAAGCCCTCGATTAGTTTTATATCATACGGCAATTGGGAGGTTAAGTAACGACGACGGAAAATTAGCAAAAATACGTGTAAGAGGCCTCTCTTAAGAACCTGACTGCAATCCGTTTGAATCTTCTTCGTTTTTTTTTGTCCATTCGTACCCTTTTTGTATGTGCTGTGTAATTTAAATGTTCCTTTACTGTTTTAAGCGGTATTTAATCTCAATCAATGTATTACCCAGTTTTGATTAAATTACATCATAGCGCCTTTAAATGTTTTTCAGAATTGCGCTTAGCACATATCCTCCTTTCATCCCTTTTTTGTTATATTTATTTATTTATTTATTTATTCATGTTTGTTTATTTATTTATTATTTCTTAGATCTACTTAGAAAAAATGGTCTTCAAGGCGCAGAAGTTTCAGCGAGGGAAGTCTCGCCACCACCACCCTCCCCCCGTGGGTCTTCACGTGCGTCTAATACGAGCCAAGGAGAAGGAGAACTGGAATCTAAACAGACGCAAACTGGCGAGGGAGGCAATATGACAGACACCTTTACGTCAGTTTCACGCTCCATGTTTTGGATTCCCGCGGATGATAGTAGCAGTGATATTAACACAGAATCCAGTGAAAAAATGAAAAGGGATTCATCATCAAACGGGACACAATTTTACATCGATCTTAAAAACCTAGAGGCTCTTGCCTCGGGTAGCTGTTCGTTGTGCGGTGAATCCCTTCCCGAGGAAAAACGCGCGGGACGGAGAGACTCCAACGAGTCGTCTTCGGGTAAAGAGTTTTGTAAGTCTTGTCAACCTCGTCGTAGATCAAGTGAAGATGTTTTCTGGATTCCTTTTACCGATAAAAGAAAAGCTTCGGCATTAAAAACTTTGAAAGGCGAAAGTGGAGGTGAAGCCACAGAAACAGACGGCAGAAAGAAATCTAATGATAAAACTACAGAACAGTGCAAAGTTCATCAGAGGTCAGACAACCAGGCGGAAAATCAAACAAAAACGAACTCAACTTCGGTTATGGAACATGAAAACAAAGCGGTTGTGTTGGCAAATGCTTCTAGTAAGGCTTCAGCATCTTCTAAACCACGGCTTCATTCGTTTCCTTCAGACATGACAGGTTTCAACGTTTCGTGTGTATGTGATAATACTACAGGCGTTTGCTCTTGTACAATTGTGAAGAAGGACTTGCTTACTTCATCATTTCCTGCTGAACAATCAAGTAAAACCGATACGTCCTCGTCTTCAAATCATTCAATTGACATCGCGGCATTAAGGACTAGTTCTGCATCAGTGGATGTTATAAAGACTGTTGGTGAAGCAAGCTCATTGGTAGATTCCACGCTTGCCACTCGACCAGGAGATATCGCTGCTTCTGCTCCTTCTTCTACGCCCGTTTTCTCTCCGTCTACAAGTAAATTTAAGGCAAGGAAAGAAACCGACATAACTCTCAAATCTTTTTCGGAAACTGATGTTTATAATCCGGCAAATCAAGAGAGCACTACAGCATCGTTAAGCAATGATAGAAGACAGAATGGTGATAGTAATGATAACGGCTTTGGTGAGGTTTATGAACGAGAGGCGCTTGATAAAGGTTTTACGGAGAATTCGGCTTTAAATCCATCGTTAGATGCTAGTCTACCCAAACAAGCATGGACCACGCCCAGAATAGAGGAGCCTAGCGCTCATAGTGTGAGGATTATCAACCCCTTTCCGTCACCTGTACCCCCTGAAAGCAAGTCCGCTGTGCACCCTCCTATCGGACCCGCAGATGACACAAGGATTGGGAATAAAAGACCAACAGCTGGTAGAAAGGGTAAGAAAGGAGGCTCAAAACCATCGGGGAACTCTAAAAGTGGCAAACCTAAAACTAAAAGCAAAGGCCCGGAAAACAACGGCAAGGGCGGGAAGAAGAAAGGAAAAGGAAAGAAGAAAGACGACATGAAAATGATAACTGTACAACAAAGGGAAGTCAGGGAAGAGCTTGGACTTAAGACTATTTCCCAAGGGGGTTTTGAAATGCCGGAGGATGTGCCGGTACCCCCTACCTTGTCAATGGACTATCTTTCCACGTTTCGGCCTTTTAACAGCCGGACGCTTAAAGGAAAACACACTATCTTGAGCCCAATACCGGAGTCCCCTCGGAGCAAGGCAAGCACCCCACGGGTCAGTGATACTTCCGAGATTGTAACAGAGAGTAATAAAGGGAACCCGGAGGGAAATGCGGTCGAAAACCCCGCGTTAGGAGGTACAGATGAAAAGGCCTTGGACACTTACGAAGGAGAAGCTACGAGAGAAGAGTTTGATGAAGTAGATGGAGGAATTATGGGTAAATTAAAGGCAATTGGGATGTGTGTACCCCGGCTACCTTTTGGGAAATCGAACACGGTTTCTGGGTCCGATGACGAGTGTAGTGAGCCGCTTGTTACGCGTTCTGATAAGGATGCTGTTCAGGATCAACAGCATACGCTGGCTGAAACCATTGATACAAATGATAATTATGACATACAGGTTAAGCAGGTTATACAGGATGAAGCTGATGACGTCATGGAAGAGATGGTGCAGCGTGGACTTGGTTTACGAGAAGGTATGGAAGTTAAAGTAACCTCATCTGATGAGCGTGCTGAGTCAGAAAGTCACATCATCACCGACGATTCCTTGACGAACATAACAAGTGAAACGAGCTCCAGCCTCTCACAGGACGGTGAACAATGGGTTTTAAGCTACCAACACTCAAGAGACTTTTCATCTAACCCGGTTACCGAATCAGATATAATTTTCCCGAGTGAAGAAGCCGAACGACAGTCTTTTGGTTCCCGAGCATCTTCGGAGCTAAGTTCGAGCTCATACTCGGAACAGTTTTCCGACACGGACTCATCGTACAATAGTTGTGACTCGGAATCACCTCGCCCTCTCTCGCCAGCCTCCTCGCTAAACAGCAGCGACACTTACTTCAACTCACCACGTGACTCCTCCTGCACGGACACGCCCACACCTGACAGAGACATGCGCTCTGACAACTCCGTGGAAATTGAGTACTACGAGCGCATGGCTAGAGAAAAGTCTGGTGCCAGCGGGAGTAGTAGCAACAGCTCTACTATTCGAACGCAGTCTAACGCATCACTTGGCAGTGTGGGTAATATTTCCCAGAGTTCAATGGGTAGCTTTTCTAGTGTTATGTCTGAGAACGTCGTTCGGAGTCGACTCAGTGCGTCTGCTCGGAGCCAGCTGTCCTCGGACAGCTGTGAAGAAGAAATTGTTTGGAAGAAAGGGAACTTGTTGGGAAAAGGAGCATTTGGAACGGTGAGTAGGCGTTTTGATTACCAGCAATCGTAAAAATGTTTGAAGTCGAAAAACCTCCTGTGTATTCATTACTGTCAAACCTTAATATAGTCTGCTTCACAGCCGTTCTTTGCCTCGTCACGCAACGCTCCTCCCCACAAAGCGTTGCGTAACGACCCCAAAACGGCTGTGGAGCAGGCTACCGCGTTATTGGCCACCCGATTGTTTCTTCATTGTTGCTGATTCTTTCCTGAGCCTCCTCCTTTTTATTTTTTGATCGCAATGTTTAAGAACACCTTGTCTGCAACCTGTTCATCCTGAATTTTTCGTGATCTCGTATTCTGTAAATTTAACGTTTGTGTGGCGCACATTTTTTCCAGGTTTGGTGCGGTCTCACTAACACAGGAGAGATGATTGCAGTAAAACAAGTTGAACTCAATCACAGCAACTGGGACGAAGCTGAAAAGGTATTTAACCATACACAGGGTTCTCATTAAGTGCCGGCAGCCGGCTAAAAAGCCCACTACTTGGAGGTTTGAGCCATCTACGTTTTGGGGAAATAGGGTAAAGTGAGAGGGTGAATATAACCGATTTTCAACGATTCTTTCATTCAAAATGAACACCGAGTTGAGACCATGTACTGAACTTGCGCCTTAACTTCTACACTGTATTAGTATAAACCACTCAGTTCATAATTGCGGCCATCCTCGGAGACCCAGGGGGAGATAGTGGGGACGAGGGAAAGTCTAAACGGGTGGAAAAATATGGCACGAAGAAAAGTAATGAACGGCGAGAAGAGCCCCTGGGGACAATGTCTTACCGCCGTTCTGGCTTCAGATTGGTGCCAGAAAAACACAAGTTTTCTGGCACATTTTTATAAATGAACCTTTTTGGTCTCGTTTGAAAGTAACAATTCTTTTTTATTTTGCACGTGTTAATGAGGTCAGACAGGCTAATTATCATACATAAAACAAATGTATCAATAGGACCCGATAAATTCCCATTTTGTTGTTCCGCTCAGGGTCAGAACAGCTTACCTGCATATTTTAGCCTTAGCAAATATTGCATTTTATGAGTGGTCGCTGTAGTTTTCTCTTCTTTAACTTTTTTTAGCAATACGAAAAACTTCAGGAAGAAGTGTTCCTGCTGAAATCTCTGAAACACAATAACATAGTCAAGTAAGTATAGAACTGTTTTTTTTTTTAGTCTTATTCTGAGCGAGGTAGATTTCTTTCCCTGGTCAAGATCCTTACAGGTTCTAGAATCAAGGAGGTGGTTAACTATACAAAACGCAATCCGTCAGGCCTCACGCAAGCACATATACATAATCTAAGCATTTTGCTGGGTATTGCTTATCGTATTAAAGCACAATTTAGTTAACATCTTTCTTCTCGCAATTTAGTCACGGCCATAGATCGGGAAGTTCCGTCTTTTAAGTCCCCTAAAGACTTCTTTCCACACCAGTGCCGTACCTTGTCATCGGGATGATCAGACTGGTACGAAACTAATGTTTTATGGCAAGTTTTGTGACCATTTTCATATTCTTGTTTTCCTCGACTGTTTTTAGGTTCATTGGCACTTGTTTAGATGGGGGCGTGGTAAACATCTTCATGGAGTACGTGCCCGGCGGCTCCATTGCCTCTATACTTGCCCGGTAAGGTTCCAAAACGAAAGCGGTAGTGTGTTGCTTATTCAGTCTATATCCACGCTGCGCTACGCCCGTTGAAAATAGTAAACTCATGCAAACGGAAGCGTTTATGGCTTATGTAAACGGTACCCTGTAGCTGTTATTTCCGTAGTTGGTTTGTTTACACGCAGACAAGCCAACTACGCGAATGTCAGCAAAGCGAATGACTTCCTAAATGGTAAAAACCCTGCCAGACTGGAACTTTTACCAGCAGAGTAGAAAAGGTTGGGAAACACATACATTGCTACAATAAGGAAGGGTTAATTTGCGGCTTCTGATGTGAGACACATCATACGTTATCTTACCATACCCTACGCCGTTCGTGGCCTGTGTATGGCCAAAACTCATTTTTGTACGAGCATTTACGTCGTAGCTTTCGAGTGAATAAGGAAATTCAAGGGTGAACTGTGTATTTAATGTGACTGTTTCACTGTCTCTTAGGTTTGGATGTCTTGATGAGTCTGTTTTCCGTCGCTATACTAAGCAGCTGTTGTCAGGCGTGTCCTATCTTCATAACAACAACGTTATTCATAGGTTAGTAATTCACAGCCAGTTTCAACTAAACTGTTACTTAATCCTTACATGGCACCCGCTTTAAGATTTAAAGCAAAGCACTGGTATTTTTGTTTTCCGCTTTCTACGCAGATCTTCATGAAAAATGAAATGTACAACGTCATAAAAATAGAATAAATCATAGTAATAATGATAATAGTAAACTTGAATAGCGCCGATTTTAATAACAGCGCTATTTTCATAAGCGCTTAAAAGAAAATTGTAATAAAATCCTTAAAATGAACCTTGGAAAAGTACAACTAAAGGGGTTTTTGTTTGAAAGATGAAACCGAAGTCTGTCATCCTCTACACCTTTCACTCCCAAAAGGGCCGAGGTGAAAATTCAACAAAAGTTACAATTTTGATTTTTTAAAGTGCTAAAAACAAATTGTACCCTTTGAAATTAATGCCGGAGAGGTTTCATTTGAATGGTCATACCGCAGTATCTCGTCCATACACTCAAAGTTTAGTACAGTTAATACGGACACTGAGCGGGCCATAGAAAGTGTCCGTATTAACCAGGTGTCCGTATTGAGGCGCAAAGCAAACTGTCCGTAATAATGTTGTGTTTGTATTGAGCGGGTGTCTGTAAACGGGGGTTTGACTGTCAATAGTCAATATCAATCAATAATTTATTTACCGTATTTATTCGATTAACCGCCCTGGGCGCTTATTAAATTTTTGGGCCTTGAGAGTGGGCGCTTATTCGAGGCTGGGCGCTTATTAAATTTTCACCATTCTCAGCAAGGGTAGTAGTATATTTTGCAACAAGACAGTAAATGGTACGAACAAAAAGCAAAGATGTAAAAAAGCAAAGTTTCTGTAAAATACTCTGAAGAAAATTTCGTCTTTGGGAGGGTCTCTTGTTATCTCTTATAGCCGAAACCAATTATGGAATTGCACGCATTTTAGGCATCCTACTGATGAACAGTTAGGACACGTAGATATATTTTTACGGTACCCACGTTATCGTCTAAGAGCACAAGTGCTCGTTCAAAATACAAACTTGCATTAAAAACCACCTTACAAGACTCCATCATCATTCATTTAAGGGCCAAGGGTACAAGAAGCCCTTCTTACCATCTTGAATATCAAATTGACCATGAAGTGGCTAATTACAGTCAGTCATAATATAGAAATCTACATAGGAAAAAAGCGTTGTAAGGATTAGTCTTTTTTCCCTTTCATTCAAGTAGTGCTAAGTTGTGAACCTCGTGCTATTTTCATCTTGCAGAGACATCAAAGGTGGGAACATTATGGTTATGCCTAGTGGTGTTCTCAAGTTGATAGACTTCGGTTGCGCTAAACGTTTGTACATGGTACGTTTGTGCTTATAAATTATGGACAGCAATTCCTTGCTTTTAATCAACGTCGTTTACAGCGTCCTCTCCTACTCGGGGGACGAGTCGGAGAGGACTGTGGGAACGAGGTTTTTAATAAGAAGAGCATTTAAGGTTTTCCACTACTGGTAAATGTGCCCGAGTTGTTTTACTATTTTGCAACGCAAACTAGTAAGCAGCGGAAACCATCTTCGTTTGCAAAGTTCATTACATGAATCAGAGGTTAAGTAAGGCGCCAACAATACAATAGACCACGTACCTGACCCTGATCCCCTGTCAGCATTTTACTGACAAGATTCTGGCCTTTTCTAGGCTCCAACCTGGACACTATAACCTGTAGCCAACAACTGTCATACTAAGCCCATCCAACGGCGTTTTCACTGACCAGTTTATATTTAGCATCATTTTGCGGCACTTTTTCCCGCGAACATGGAAGAACCGTCCCGTATGTGTACCCATCCATAGTAGAATAATGACTATCAAAACATCAGAAATACTATTTCCTAGCGTCCAGTTTTTGCTGCCTGATTTGTAAGACTTATTTGATGGTCAAAATTCGCGAGAAAATCGGTGTTAAAACAAAGTGATCTGTGAAGGCACCTTTGCATGGGCACAAAAAGTTTCTTGCTCCGAGTTATGGGCTCCTGCCCCAAGATAGTAATTTGCAGAGATCGTGAAAACTGATTTGATGCGAAAAACCCGCGAGGGCATTGGAGACAAAAGGAAGGCACGAAGGAAGTCAGCTCCCATCTCTGTGGCTGGGTGTCAAACCTGACCTTCAGGAATTATCTTTTCATATCACGTATTAAAAGCCTTTTTCGCGACCTCACGTGTTTGTAAATTTGTTTCAGAATCTTAGTATGAGTCAGAGCAATATTCTTCGGTCCATGAAAGGCACACCCTACTGGATGGCGCCCGAGGTTATACGGGAGACTGGACACGGCCGGAAGTCAGATATCTGGTCAGTGAAATTTTTCCTTGTCTCCTTTGTTATTTTAAAGTCTATTGTGCTTATGGCATTTATTGGTTTCTACGTGTCGGTGATTATTTACAGTTAATCTATTTATTTTATTTATTTTTTATCAGGAGTGTTGGATGCACAGTTTTTGAAATGGCTACCGCAAAACCTCCATGGTAAGTCGTCAATTGCGAGCCTACCATCAAAGATTTCCGGTAATGAGTATTAGAGAAAGACTTAACACTTGAACATACAGTACTGCTTGGAAGCAAGTTTGTTGTCACTCGTGTCTCGAGACTCGAGACTTCAAACCCGAAATTTTCAAATCTCGAGTCTCGAGGCGAGACTTTCGAGTTCGGTACCAAAGTTTCGAGTCGAGAAATGTAAATTGTTAAAATGTAGAAATGTGGTAGTGTAAGACAATCGTAAGTAAAAACAACTGTATTCTGTTGTACTGGCTTAATTTGGTATTTTAAGAGTGCGATAAGAGGCCTTTTTTAATGAGAAAAAGAAATTACACCAAAATATTTATCAAGTCTCTTACTTTGCTTTTCAGGTCCGATATGCCTCCAATGGCCGCTATCTTTGCCATCGGAAGTGGCTCGTTGGCGATTCCGCAACTTTCCGAAGATTTCTCGGAAGGCGCTCGGGACTTCGTAAACAAGTGTTTGACCAGGTATTTTTTTTATGTTTTATGATAGAAAGAACTTTAGGTAGGCCCACAAAGTTTACAATGTTAACCGACTCTCATACTCTTCCAGGTTTGCCCGATGTTAAAGAAAACTTTGAAATGTACTTTTCCCGTATGCATCAATATGTCACTAATGATTTTTCACCTTTATTAATAAGCCATCTGTTTATAATTGCAGGGACCCGGACTTGCGCCCCACGGCTGATGAACTTCTTCAACACCACTTCCTAAACGACTCTCAGTAATAGAAACAATAGACCCGAGATTACCTGTCGCAGAGTATTCCGCAAAGCTCTGACAACGTAAGAGAGTATCTCTTTCTCTTTCGCGGCTTGTCGACTTAATTTCCCTTGAGGAGAAAGGAAACCTCAAAATTTATCAAACAAAAAGTAAAGGGCTTTCGTCAACGGTATCGCCAACTTGTTTGCGTAGCTACGTCCCCTTCCCCTCCCCCGTATTTAAGTTTAAGACTCCTAAGTTTATTGATGCGCCCATGTTGTAGCATTTACTAGTCTTGTTACAAATATTTAAATTATTATAAAAGCAGAGCTTAATTTGGTGAAATATTGTATAAATTTTTTTTATGTAATATTCACTAAATATAGAGATCTTTACTTCAGTGATCTCTCTTTAAAAAAAGTGAAATAATATATTTGCAATTTGCGTTACTCCAGCTTCGCTGCTACGCTCTCCGAGAAGTAAAATTCTCAGTTCATATCGAAGGATAAATGTATGATATGCCACAAATTTCATACTTAGCATCCAAGCAAGATTTTATTGATATAATAGGTATATCTTGCAAATTCTAATTTGAAAAATGAAATGTATTTTTGAAAATGAATGTAGAAGTATTAAAATTGTAAAGCTTACATAAAAGTTTGTAACTTCTCTTCTTCTTTAAGGCCAAAACAAATTTCATTGTCAGTAATTATTGCATTTATGGCTGATTTTTATTTCATTTATAGTGGTTCTTACATTTATAGTTGACTTTTATTACATTTATGGTTGATGATTATGGGTGATACAACACTACACAACCCCGCAGTTAACTGACGAAAAATATCTACGCATGCACCGTACAAAGAAATCACGTGGTCCATTTCCGGCAAAGTCATTGGCTCAGACGCGAAATACCCGCGAAGTGTTTTAAAGATAAAAGAAGAAATTGCAGCTGTATCTGTTAGTAGTAGTGCTTTGGCTTTTATTACCAGTGTGAGTAAATTTTTTGTGAAATGTGTCGTGTAGAAGAAAATGCAGCCTGGACCTACCAGACAAAACCATTAGCTCCAAAAAAGGCATATCGCTGTCTGTCCTCCCTGCTGTATTACGCTGTAGGTACTTCATATAGGGGACACCTTGTGATATCTGTCATAACGATCATGAATCTCCGCATTAGCAAACGGCAAACGTGAATTTGTACCATTTGACCAAGTTTGCCAATGACTTGTCGTTTACCGTTCATTATAACTACACGAAAATCGATAGATTCACGCCAATTCTTTCCATAAGAATAAATCACTGAAAAGTATTATAGAAATGATTTACGCTATGTAATGGATAGTGATTTTTTTGAACAACTGGTGTCTGGGGGTCGCTTCTCGAACGTCGCGGTAACTTTTAGGGCCCGAAATCAAATATTCAAATCGAAATATATAGAATAAGAGCGCGGGTCCTGGCAAGCAAACTACTCCATTTCGTTTCATTAACTGATAGTTTTATGTGTCATTTGGATCATTTTACGTTTCTGAGCAACCAATTGCAAGCCCGGCTTCTTATAACCGAACCCGTTTATCAGGAAGGGCACGACCATAATAAAAAGTACCCGGTATCTTTCATACCCCGAAACTTAAGTGTCCAACGAGTCCGTTAACCAGTCAACAAACCGTACCCTGTAAACAGAGGGCATTAACCATTGAAACCTCGACCTTTAATGTAACCGGAGACAGCTTAAAGGGCCCGTTAATTATCGCGACTTTCGAGAAACCGGCCCCTGGCCTCTAAAATCTCTACCCGTTTTCAGACCTGGCCTCTATAAAGAAATTATGTCATCATTACTTAGATTAGAACGCCAACAAAAAAAATTCTTTTATAAAACCGCATATTTCTCTTTCTTTCTTCTTCATCTGGAATTGAAACGATAAATGCGTTCATACACTCCCGTAGGTTTCCTCGAAAACCATACCTGATTCCAGACCAAAATAGGCCGAAACGGCGCAAAAAACCCACCAGATGGGGCGGCACATACCTAAATAGCTTATAAAAGGGAGTCTCTCCACCCCCCGGGAAATAGTGTCAGGGTTTGGAGGCCTCGGCGGCAAACCTGTACCCAAACCTCCCTGAGTGCCCCTCCGGATCTATCTAACGCTATCATGGCAATAGAAAAGTCCTTGTGTCACTGAAACCATGTGTATTTAGGACAGTTCTATGCGGCTGCTTTTGCTCCCTGCCATTTCTTGAAAGTATCGGTAACTTTTCGGGCCCAAAATCAAAATCTTAAGAATAAAAACGCGACAATGAACAAACTAGCCCTTTTTGTTTTGCTAACTGACAGTTTTATCATGATATTATCTTCAAAACTTTTGAAACCGCGAAGTTGAATGTAAACAACAACAACTTTCCAGGGGCCCCTCTTTCTCGAAAGACCCGGTAACGTTTCGGGTCCGAAGGCACATTTTAAAATCAAAACCTGTGGAATAATAATAGCAGAGTTCCTAGCTCATAAACCCGTCAATTTTGCTTCTTTAACTGATAGTCCTATTGTATCATTTTCAAAATTAACGAAATTTTGAAGTTGAATGCAAATGTACGGCAAACTTAGAACACCTATTCGCGCACGAAAAGTTAGCGGGACTTTCAAAAAAGGGGTCTCTGGCCCGTTCATTATCGGGAATTTCGAGAAACGGGCCCCTGGTCCATTTCAATCGGAAATTGAGCCTCCATTTCTATTCTTCATTACTACATCAAAACTATCAAACCCATCGACCTGCCCATTCCTTAAAAGTAAAATCTTGTCATAGTCTCGTATTGTGTTCAAACGATGTGCAACAGTGATAACGGTGGAGTTTTTCAATTTCTCGCGCACTATGTTCCAGAGTTTTTGCTCTGTTTCTGGATCCACATGTGCTGTGGGCTCATCCAAAATGATGATTTTCTTTTGGTGCAAAAACACCCTAGCCAAGCAGATAAGTTGCCCTTCTCCAACACTTAAATTTGCACCGTTCTCTAACAATTCATGATCTAACTGACCGTCCAAATTTTCTACAAGACTTTTCAGCTGCACCTCTTCCAAAGCTCTCCATAGGTCCGTGTCTTGAAACTGCTCCATCAGATCAAGATTTTGCCTCAACGATCCACTAAAAAGGGCAGGATTTTGACCGAGAACGGTTATTCCCCGTCGAGATTCTTGGAGGTTGATGCTACTTATATTAACATTGTCAATCAAGATGTCTCCGTCAGCTTCAGGCATGCGCATTAGTGCCGCCACGAAAGAAGATTTTCCTGCACCCGTTCGGCCTGCAATTCCGATCTTAGCTCCTCCATTGATTTTAAGTGTAATATTCTTTAAACTTTGAGGACCACCCGGATAGTACCTCAAGGATACGTCTTTAAATACGATATTTCCCTCATTTGGCCAGTTTTTCGGGGGATTTTGTTCCACTTTGTATCCAGGTTCAGATTCAAGTTCGGTGTACGTCATTACTCGCTCAACTGATGTCATCAGAGTTTCGACCACGACTGATTTCTTAAATGCGGATTGAGTCATCGACACGCTTTGGACGATGTAAACCAATCCAAGGCCTGCAAAAACTGAAACAAAAACGAAGGGAAACACGGATAATAAGACCTGGTTCGTAAAACACAAAATACAATTTTTTTTTAGTTTTTTGGACATTATGTCATGTAAGGAAAAGTAAAAATCTTGTTTCAAATTGTCAAGACTGGAGAAATTTGACCTGTTTTGTTTTTATTGCCGAAGGTCTCCCTGGCGCTCCAGCTCGTCCGAGAACTTGAGAATTTGGCTGCTTTTACAAACTGGAACAAAATTCATATTGTCTTACCTCACCTCATCTTGTACCTACCCCAACGAAAGTAAATATAACTTGGCAACATAACCAATCGTCGTTCGAGAAGCGTCAGTCGTTTTAAATAACGCAGGCGTCCTAAAACGTATTAACATTTAATTATTATTTTACATTTCTGATTACATTTTACAACTATATACATTTACCAGCATCTTGGGACACAAAAACTGCCGCAAGAGCCACTGCACCCGTCAAAACAGCAGAGAGACAATCCAAGCGTACTCCAAGCCAACGTTGGGTGGCAAAAACCATAATGTATGCCTGAGTATGAACATCTTGATACCTAAAAAGAATAAAACCCACGATGTAGCTATTAAAGTTGTATCTTTCTCGGATCTTAGGCAATGTAACATTTAACTATCCAGCATTTCAACAGTCGATGAGGCATAAACTTTGCCAGTACGTTACTCGCTGGCTGTCAGTTGTTCCAACTTATTGAAAGCAATCTTTTGTATCTTAGGCAGAGTCTTGGAGTCGCATTTGTTGTAAGCGTTGCAGACTTACATAGAGGACCAATGGGTAAAAGCCTCGAAAATACCTTCTCATACAAGAAACAACTTACTTTTCAAAGCATCTTGCCTTACCAACGGGGTTGTAATTGAATCAAATACAGATAAATCCCGATATAACAAAATTCCGGCAAAGGGACGGCAGGGATCGGCCGTCATGACAGGAGAACATTATATCGGATCCAGTAGACTAAGTTTTACTATAACAGGGTCCAAGAATGCCATGTCATTTGGGGATTTCGTTATACACGAAAAAAGGGCTCGTTATATCGTAGACTCAGATCACTCCACTTTTGGCACCTTACTCTTAATAGCGATCGAGTAGGCTACCTTCGAATATCTGAGCCACTTGTTACGCGGGATGACGTAGTCAGCCAGCGTCTAAAATTCGGTCGAATTTCGTTGTCATCGTAGTCACAAATTGGCATGTTTTTTAACTTTCCCGTATCCCGTGCCGGTCCCGAAAAATGGTGCGATTTTATTGGCTACAACTTCAAATCACGTGCAAGTCAGGTTGGGTCGAACACAGACTAAAGATACCGCGTAGATTGTAGAAAGGCAAAGTGCTTTTCGGCTGGGCAAATCGATAGAATAGGAAGCCGGTGCAAGCAATTTTGACTGGATAATTGGTTTGTTATGTTGCTATGTTTTGAAATTGTCTTTTTTAAAAGACAATTTAAAAGCCGTGAATAGCTTCCCCTGATTTATTTTTTGACCTAAGCAAAGAGTTCACAGTTGTCGAATCGACAGGTTCACCACAACAAATCAAACTGACCAACGAGTTCATTTATAATGGAACCAGTGAGCTCACTTGTAAACTTACCGAAGCAAGAGACGACTGCGTTGCGAAATACTATTTGAATATGCAATAAATATTGAAGCAATTTTCACACCGCAACGATGATTCTCTCGAATTCACAAACTGATTTCAGTACGGTCATGCGGTAGAGAAGAGGAGGACTTTGACTGTGCATTACGGACTGCGGAATACGGTCTTCGAACTGGGTATAAAACACGGACTAGGTATAAAATGCGAACTACCGACTATGTTTTCAGAAAACTGGGCTAAATATTACTAGGTAAGGTAAAAACAACATAATTAAGAAATCGCTAAATAGCACATCACGTGGGTTAATACAGCAATTTTGCGAGAGTGCTCCTCTATGTCCTCCAAGGCATTGAAATCGAGTTGTGGCAAATCTAGGTCTATGACTCGACTACACAGTTAAAACAACTAAAACTACTTAAAACCTCAAACGATTATCTTATTACTATGTTCATTAAATTGAGGGCCGGTTAAGAGTATCAACCCGTATTGCCGGTGTACTAGAAAAGCTTAAATTTCCTGATTCGGTGCTTCTTAGTTTCATATCTTTTGTTGGTATCAACTACTGTAAATTTGAATTCTGTTACTCTTTTTTTTTTTTCATCAAAATTCATTCAAAGTTTCATTTTCAGTGCTTTTTCATTTTTTTTTGAACTTTTAATAAATTTGCCATTTTCAAGAACTCTTTAAACTGTATTGACCGTTATGAGTTTTTTTTTTTTCAAAAAATATTTAAGGCGTGCCTATAGTTAGCAAACTGTGATATCCAGACAAATATGATATTAGTTCAAGAACCTGTTTAGCTCATTTAAGACAACATTGCACGTCATTTGCATCCGTGCCTGCAAATCCCAATCCATGTACCCAACTGTCCAACTTCATTCAAATAGCCCTCACATACACCAACGCATCCCGCGTGAACGCCTCAAGGCGTCTTGATACTTTTAAGTCCCTTTCGATGTTTTTCTCGCTGGTGCCACTTCGCTCCATGTTATTATAGTATAGACATCACTCCTATCGGAAACGCTTTATGCGCTTTATCGGAAATAATTTTTTGAACTAGTTGGCTTTCCTACCAGCCATCCACGCAGACGTTCTTAGGGATTCGTCACGCGTTGCTGCCCCACGAAACGTTCGTTGGGAAGGATTGCTTGACGAAACGAACGTACGCGTCTGCGTGGGAGCCTGGCTACTTTCCTATATAATTGAATTCGATTTCTTCGTTTTTCAGTCCCTAATATTCATCCAGTTTTTTTTAATTCAGTCTTAAGCTATTTAGGTTACAAAATAAGACTATTCAACAAATAATGAACAAATAATAAATACCTGCAAAACTCATCCAAGAAATCTTCTTCCTTTTTTCTAGTTCGAATTGTGTCCAGTCCATCCAGAGTCTCAGAAATGTGAGAAAAGACGGGACTGCGACTAACTGATTCCAACCTTTGTAGTTCCCTAGATGTCTTTAAGTAATATCTGGAAATAAGTCCCGCTATTATAGCTATTGGCACAACAACAAACAGAAGCCAAGGGTTTATGACAGTTGGCAGAAGAATCGACGTGAACATCAACAAGGTCCTCTGTACCGCTTTCAGAAATTTTTTGGGTAGTACTTCATCCATGCAGCCAATATCTTTAGAGAACCGATTCATAATTCTTCCCACGGAATTTAAATCGAAGAAAACGACTGGTGCTTGCAGAACAGCAGCCACCATTTTATCATGAAGTCGCTCAGTACATCGTAATGATACCATAAAGAAGCCAAAAGCCCGAATGATGAGAAATATGAAAGATGCCCCGACAAAAGAAGTGTAGATGATAAGGTTCGTCTCACTCTTTTGATCCTCGGGATACTTCTTTGTCAAAAGCGACAACCACACATCGCAAGAAACCAGCATCACTAAATAGATAATCAGGCAGGAAAGGGTCAGAGATGCATGCGGTCAGACATATTTTTGTGTCTGCACAGCAAAGCTGTTTCTAAAAAAACCCTGTTTAAACCTTGATTTTTTGTCTGTGTTTTCAACCAGCTTTGCGTTTGGAATTGCGAACAGTGAATGATACCGTGAAAAAAGAATTACGCTTAAAGCTTTAATCCTTTTACAAGCAATACGGCAACTGAGCATTCGTAACAGGAAAACATGTTGTTTATTTATAAGTCAGTGTATTTCAAACCTGATAAACATGCATTATTATGAGTGAAAGGAGATAATTACTCAATTTCAAAAACCAGCAAAAAATAAAATAAATAAATAAATACTTTAGCTCAACTGAGATGCAGCTCCTGAAATCCGTATGCGAGGCCAGAAATGCCTAAGACTTTTCTTGTACTTTACTGTAAGCTTGCATGAGATTTAAAAAAAACGCAGTCATCGATGAATCCCATTGACTTTAAAATATTCGAGGCTTTCTTCAACGACAAAAATAAACAAAAAATGAAACCAGCTTTGAATGACAGAAGAATCCTGATAGCAGCTTCAGTTATATTACATTTGGTGGGGGCATTTGAAAGAGCAGGAAAAGTTAAAAACTAAAAATACATTTAATCTAAAGCTCCATTTATCATAAAACAAATTTCAAGGTGTTCGGCAAGTTTTTACGCATAAATATAATTTTCGCAATTTTCATCAATCTGAACTACATTAGTCTTGGAGTGTGGCCAAAGCGTGACCAAGATAAAAAGAAAAGCCTAAAAATATATTTTTGAAAGTTTTTTCGTAAGTCAAACAATAGAAACATCAAGAGTTTTACTGGAGCAACTCCATTGGTCGTCTCTGTCTCTTTCCACCAGAACAAACGCAGGATGCATGTTTGGGACCTCCCTGGCAGTCTCCCCTCCCTCTCTCCGAGAGTCTGTACGGGTGTACGTATGGGTGTAAGTTGACATCATAGTAACATTTTCTCGCATTGATAGTTTTCCAGTTTCTAAAGCAATGGAGGCTCAGCTGCTTGCAAAAGCTTCGCAATTTATACGCACTTCATCTGACAACTCATCCAGTTTCGTTGTTGCCTACTTCGTAACGCTTTATCTAGTGGTCTTAATCGTTTGCACTGCGATCGAAATTTGCCGGAGCAGAAATATTAACATTTGATGCGGTCGTTCTCACGCCTTCACTTTTTGGGTTGACTGTCTGGAATGAGCCCATTCAAAAGCTCGTTTCTTCGAACTTAGGCAATAGCGTGACTGGCAAGCTTGGCGTTCCCGATTCCAGTATCTTAGTTATTTCTTCGTTTGGCGTGTTAGTGTTCTTTCATGCTAGGTGAGGCGAAAAAAGTGTCGTTTACACTACCCTCGTACTCCTGCTGTAGGATCCTGTGCCTGACACCATTTTTGATTGTATAAAGCCAAAGTTAGAAGGGAATCCAAGTGTGGAATTCAACGGTATTCAGTTATAGGAGATGATTAAAAGATCAACAGGATCAGCTAACGTATCACACAAAACAGTACGCTACATCGCTAGGGCATGATTACTAAGGGAGACGATTAACAGTTAACCACAGACGAGGGGATAATACAGATTTTGTTCCATTCAGAGTCAGCCAACTTATCATGGGTTGACCCTGAAGGAGTTTTGAACTTTACACCTTTTACTTGAAGGGCTATATTTTTGTGCTATGAAGGTAAGGTTAAATTCCTATTATCGTAAGACCTTACCTTGACTGATAACACACAAGCAAATCCCTGCAATGATTACCAGCGAAGGTACTCCGATTGTAAAGTAATTCCAGTAGAGGTCTGATGAAACCGCCCCGATGGCGCGATCTTCTTCTGATAAGCTGAGACCCCGCACTTCATGGGGTACACTTCCTCCACTCAAGTCAGTAATCTGATGGTCGTCTTCATTTTCTTTACCAACGCGACCATCCGCCTCATTAGCTTTCTCATGCAGCGAATCTACAGTAGTATTCAGCTTGCCGTTTTCTTTTAGCTCAGTTAAACTTCCCTTACCCAATATCCGGCCTTTGCACAATACAATTATGTCGTCGGCGTCTCGTATGACACGTTCATGATGAGTTGTCAGCAATCTGGTTTTCTGCCCAAGTAAGCCTTTGATGCATTCCCTAAAGATGTGCTGAGCAACTTTCAAGTCCAAAGCACTAAAAGGATCATCCAGCAAGTAAAGCTCTCCTTCGGCATACACTGCACGTGCTAAGCTTACTCTTGCCCGCTGGCCTCCACTAAGAACCACTCCACGCTCTCCAACGATCGTTTGGTCACAGTCTGGAAATTTCTCGATGTCTTCAGTCAGAGCACATGCTTCAATGACTCTGTTGTACTTCCATTCTTCGTACTGTTCGCCAAACAAAATGTTTTCTCTAATAGTTCCAGAGAATATCCAAGCAATCTGTGGCACATAAACAACAGTTCCATTGTAGGTTATGGCCCAGTTCTGGTCTGGTATCTCACCTGCAATTGCTGACAGAAGAGTAGATTTGCCACTGCCCACTGATCCAGTTATGACTGTCAAACTTCCCTTTTTAGCGGTGAAATCAATATCTCGCTGAAAGGATTCATCTTTCGAATAATTTTGTAGTTGATGCTGATTGAAATTTCTTACCCGTAAGATAGCTACTTCCTGATTTTCTGTTGAGATTCCAGGTGAAAACATGTCTTCTCTTACGCCTCGATGATTTATGGCGGTGTTAGTTGAATTGAGATTGTTCAAAAGAAGAAATTCCTGTATTCTGGTCAGTGAGACATAAGCGTCGTAGGTTTGGATGGAGGCGTAGGAAACGATCATACAGACGCCTAGCCTCAACAGATTGAAAAAGGAGAGTAACGTAAAGACGATAACTGGTGTCAAGGATTGACCAGTTAGAACAAGAGTGATGACAGTCACCAGGGTCGCCGTTGGTGTTGAAATGTACTCTAGAGCAGCAATGCCCGACAAAACAGCACTCTTCTTACGAACGAAATTGATTTCATGACTGTAAATAAAACAAAATATTTTTTCAGTCATACTAGGAAGCTGCAAATGTTTGAGAAAATGGCATGGTTCTTGGCCTAGGGTGCTATTTCTTAGCCTATGTGCAGCCAAGCAAATGATGATAAAATTGCCTTGGAAGCAAAACCCCTGTATATAACATTGCAAGTTCCTTTTCATTCTTCAGTCTTCAAACAGGAGAAGTGTGTGTTGGGAGAAAAGCCTTGCAGGTCTTTATGGCAGTGCATATGATAAGTAAGTAACTATATTTCCATTTCGGTAAATACAAGTTACAGCAGTTTAAAAACAATTATAAATAGATGTAGGAGGACTAAAGAAACCTTTACAGGCTTTTACTAAGCAGTCCCCAAATGACCTTAATTACAAAGCATTAACCTATTTTGGTATCAGAGGTTAACAATTAATTGATATACAGCATCTGTTAAATTTTCAAAAACAACATATCAAAATACTATAAAATGTGGTGTTCCACAAGGATCTTTCGTTGGTCCTCTTCTTTTTTCAATCTATATTAATGATCTAATGAAGTCTACTAATAAGCTATCTTTTATTCTGTTCGCGGATGATACAAATTTATTTTGCTCAGGAAATGTTATTAAAAAAACTTGAAAGTATGGTCTTCAATTTGACTAACAATAGACGACTGTTTAACTGTGACAATAAACGGATCGAAACGCACCAATTACATTACGAGTCTTTATAGCCAATAGCATCACAACTTAACTGACAGACGACCAATAACATCGCGACGTTATTAATTGACCAATCAGATCAATAACCAGAGTATAATACCATCAAATGGCGTCATACAACTCACTTTGAATCTAAAGATGACTACAGCAAAGGTTTTCGAAACGTCAGTCACTGTCAACAACAACAGTCCTATTTAGGACTATGTTCACCCGGAGGATCAAACTCACATACTTTTGAAATGACTCCTGGGTTTAAACCTTTTACAGTTTGGCCACATATTTAACAATTTGACTATCTATTCATCTTTTCCAAAGATATATTTGCTCTTCATCTTAATGATTTCCTTTGTAATCTGACTAGATTTTGTTGTCATATAAGAATATAGAATTAAATATTTACTAAATCCACCTAAACTTTGATTTAAGCAAAATCGTAAAGTTTTTCTTACCTTCGTGTGTTCTTTATCTTTTTTCTATATTCATCTTCCCATGCATTTGTTTTGATGGCGCGAATTCCAGTAACAACCTGGTTGATCAACGTGATGCGGCGATCAGAAACCTCTGCTGTACGCAGGCGCAGTACAGCTCCAGCATGAGCGAACCCAAGGTAACATGGTAGAGTCATACACAGTAAGATAATCCCCAATAAAGCCTGCCATCCGATAAAATAGACCAGTAAAAATGTTACTATTAATAGCTCTATAATGCTTCGTGCTCCATCAAAAAGAAACAAAAACGTATCGCCCTCCAATCGCTGAACATCGTTCGATACTAGATCAATAACTCGACCAGATGAAAGTCTTAGCAATGAATCCTTGCTGAGAAGAAGCGTCTGCAAGAGAGAGCCAAAGATCGTATATTTGTCTTTACATGAAGTTGTTATTTAAAAGAGGAGCTTTTTCACAAGCGACTTTTCCACAACCAACAACGAATAGCCAGACAAAGACCGAAGAGTGTCGTAAAAATTATACTAATGCAGCTCACTACGTGTTTCGATATGTTTCGTTATGTATCTATCTTGATTTAAAAGGACAAAACGTTAAGTTAATTATACTTATATTTCCAGTTTGATTATGAACAAACGTTCTCTATCATAGGTTCGTAACTTTTATTTGCGATCGCCCAATAACGAATTTGAGTGTGTCCTCCCCTAATCAATGACTTTCTTATCTTAGCGCCTTTTCATATTAGGCGTCTGACTCATAAGTTCTATTTGGGGCCCAAGCCAGTTCAGTTAACTGGGTTGGCTAACCGGGTTTAGCTCACCTCCTTATCAGTATTATTATTGAAATGTTGACATTTGCTCAAGCGAAATAGTGACAAGGAGGGTTTTTAGAGCTCATCATCATTCATTACCATCATCATCGTCGTTGTCGACGTGTGAACGACGTTATTTGTCTTTTCCCGTCAAGCTCAGCAACAAAAAGAATAGGACTGAAAATGGAGAAGGAAAGACTTTTTGTCGTTTTTGATTCTTCATCATGTTTATAATATGTATCCGAAATTTTCAACTAGTCAAAGATCTTGCAAAACCTATATTTTTCGTCTTTAAAACACGCGAATTTGCCTTCAAAAATGTTCGGCCCTTTCGCGCAGGGAAATTAACTGAATTATGACGTAGAATGATTTGAAAGAATACAGAATGATGGTCATTGTCGAAAATTCCCCAGTCATCACCAGAATCTTCATTTACTTTGCTATACCTTCGTTATAGTCATGCATCGCTTAATGACAGAAAACACAGAGCAGCGACCAGAATCGGGAGCCACCAACGACATTTTTTGAAGGTTCATGATTGTCAATTAACCTTATCTAAGGATCAAAATCTTGTCATATACACTTAAATGGGTACATTTATGCACGGTCTCCTCTGACAATTAACTTGTTCTCATTACCTTCATATACACTAAGCCTTTAAGGGCGCTGCTTACTCTGATACCCAGCACCTCACACTGGTAGTCAAAGTGGTGCATGCCAACAGAAGAGATGAATTCATTTATCCCTAGTGCGATAGCACTGCCATAGAGAAGATACATATTGTGTAGCTCTGCTGTGATCAGGGATTTCACAAGATATCCAAGAAGCAGTGGTTGGAGAATACGACAAAGTGTCCAGACACTCATAGCTGAAATGAGGATTATTATGTCCCTCGCAGTTAGCACCTTCAGTATGCTTTTCCAAAGTTTTGGTTTAATATCATTTTTCTTGCTATTAGTTGTTTCTTCAGCCCATTTTGCCCGAAGCTCCTCTGCCAAAAAGCAAGATGTATTTTCTTTTTCAAGAGGTAAAAGATCATTTTCATCAATAGCTCGTTCACTTCCCGTCTTCAGTAAAATGTTCATCCACTGGAAAAAAAGTGTGGAGAAAAAGCTCACTTTTCCCGCTTGTGTAGTGCTGGTAATCTTTCTGTACCTATTCTTTGCCATTTTTTGTAGTGTCTAAGAGAGAAAAAACAAGAATTAGATAACCGATACAATTTTATAACCACTACTATCATACTAAATTTTGGATTTCTAGTCAACAGTAATATTAACTTCTGTCTGACGAAAAACCCTGGACTAACATAAATGTCGGGAAAATATACAACAACATTAACAACAACAACAACCTTTATTATTGCGATAGCTAATGTAAAGAAAAGAAGAAATTGTTACATAAAATTATGCATTATGATGACAAGGATGTCTAGGAGCTAAATTAACACACGTTTTCGTGCTAGCGCCTAGCTATAAAATGATATTTTTGACGGAGTGGTGACAGGTAAAATAGTAGCAAATAATGAAAAAAAAAACAAAAAAACAAAACAAACAAAAAAAAAACAAAATAGGTAAGCACACACACACTATACACTTTATGGAGAAAAGAAGGAATATGGTCAACTTTCAGATTTTCTAATCGGTAGATGTTGTTTTAGTAAACGTGGGAAGGAGAAATTTGGGAGGTCTTTCAAATGACGGGAAAGATCTTTCCAGAGGTCAACAGCTATTAATAGATTGGATTGATTGTTTTCCAATATTCGTTCTTGTGCGTCGTTTATAAAAGTTTTTTTAGGGAATATCGTGTATTATAATTGTTTAATAATAATAATAATATAATAATAAAGTCTTTATTCATCAAGAGATAAAAATACATATCTTTTGTTACAAGTAAGTGTAAGAAATTTAAAAAGTTAAAAAGTAAGAATTAAAAAATATATACCGGTATATATATCTAGTATATTACATAGCGAATTCATATTTAAAAACTAAACGATTAATAAAAGAGTTTTTAAAGCGCATAGTGTTAATCTTAGGTTTAAAACTAGTTTCTTTTCTAAGATTGTAGCTGGAGGGTTTAACACGAGGCATAATAGATAAAAGTGGATGTCCTTTGGCATTAAAAACTTTTTTGAAAATTTTACGGTCTTGCCTCTCTAAGAAATCATAAACACTTACAGGCTTAGACGTATATTTCCTTTTAAAACAGCGGTCTAAGAAACATTGTACGGGTGTAAGATCGGACTCGGACGCGGCGTAGACAGATAATGCGTAATTAATATTAGGTAGAACTATAGTATTAAAGAGAAGGTCTATTTCTGACTGATTGTACCCTTCTTTGCGCAGCGTTCTAAGGATATGTAGGGATTTGTTAGCTTTAAATACTGTAAATATTTTAAAAATGAATAAGTAAACAGACGATAAAATCTAGTCAACAGTTTGCTTGCCTACTGGTCAGTTTTCTTTTAAGAATAGCTTACAGGCTTAGACGTATATTTCCTTTTAAAACAGTGGTCTAAGAAACACTGTACGGGTGTGAGATCGGACTCGGACGCGGCGTAGACAGATAATGCGTAATTAATATTAGGTAGAACTATAGTATTAAAGAGAAGGCCTATTTCATCGTCATCAGTTTCGAATTTCTGTTTTTCAGGCGGAGACGTCTCTTCTGCGAAATATCCCTGGCGGCGAAGAGCGAGGAGAGTTCGCAGGGTAAAAAACAAACAAACAAAAACTGAGGTGGTCGAAAAACCGAAAAAAAAATTCCTTGGAAAACGTCTGAAAAAACAATTTATGCAAAGAGTAATCCAAAGGAAAAAATTCATGCCTAAGGGGCCGAGTCTTCATAATAAACTTTTTTCATGTATTGTGTTTATGAAAAATAGATCGAGAAAAAGTTTTTTCTGACTATAGTCTTTAAAAAGACTATAAGATCATCTGTTTATGAAAAACGAAACATTAAAATCTTTCCAAAGGGTTAGTCGTCGTTTTGGTCAAAACTATGTAAAATAGACCAAGAAAAAGTATCTGGGAACGTTCTAGGTAGAAAACAAGTCTTCTGTAATCCTTTAACAAGCGCTGTAACCTTATGTAAGCAGCTGTAACCCCTT